AAAATATCTGACTTAAAATGCACTATGCAGAAGACTAGATGCAATCACCCTAGAAAGCCAGGGATAAGGATGAACTCAAATTTCATACTATGTAGATACTTCTAAGAATTAAGACAAAGCATTTTAAAGCATTTTTGGGGCTTAAGATTGGTTTCATCTGTCCCAGCAGAGACAGCCTATATAAATGAAGAGACAGAAAGAAACAGAAGTGGCTGTAACTATGTTCCAAGAGGAAACTTGGACACTTCAAGGCATTCACTAGGAAGCATATTTCCATTTCTAAGCATACGAAGTACCCGCTGGGGCTTGATCCTACTGCGTTCAAGGAAAAACTGCTTTTTGTGTGCATGTTTTTTAAATGAACAGAAATACACCAAAGAAACACCAAAGAAATATTATCAACAGCTTCTCCTTGAGAAAATAGGATAGGAAGGCTCTCAAACTTTCCTAACTACACAGATCAAAAGGAGTGACACAATAATCAATTATTTATTTTTACCTTTGGAAGAGTTGTCTCCAGAGAAGTGGGTAACAGAGTTCATTCCAGGCAGTGCCAGACTTAGGGCACCTCCATGTTAAGTTTATGTTGCTGGCTCTCCTGTTGAACCTAAGCTACCTTCAAGTTCTGTTGCTAATTCAGTGCTTTTGAAGAAAGTAATTGATTACCAAGTTATGATCTTTCTAAAGAGCTTCATGAGAAATGCCTTTCTTTAAAGATTAACTGAGCAGGAACTCTGGATGCATTTTCTAAAGGCATTATCAAACAAAGTTAAAAATGATAGAAATGTCATCTAAGTATGATGTCATTGAAATAACTCACTAAGCCCAAGAAATTACATAAGAGAATATACAAAGGAGACACTGTAATATTAATTGTTAGCATATTCCCAACAAGGAGGTCCAATTTGCAGCACAGCACTAAAGAGCTGACTTATTTACCTCTACACTAAAGCAATTGTTCTGGAACACAGAAGAAGACTGATCAACCACAACACACCTACACAAGTACAACATCTAAATATCAAAGTTCAAAAGAGAGAAAGGAACTGTCTTCTAGAAGTAAAAGTAGCTGGGATGATGTCTGGGAAAAAAGTGCTTTTCCATGGCAACCTTGAAAGGCTGCTGTATTCACAGAATGTCAATACCCACTATGCTGCCATTAATCAAATATAAATTCCAATGAGTAGGAGATTGGATGACGAGGTAAATACCACTGATTTCATTTAAAAAATAATAAAGATTCCCTTTAAATATTCTGCTTACCTATGAGCCTGGAGACCTGCAAGTGATTATGGAAGGTTGACACTTTAAGCACAACTACATTTAGTGATTTCAAGAAAACTCCATTTAAGTCCAGGAAAAAAATTGGACTGGCTTAATCCCAAAGTTGGACATTAAAAAAAAAAACTTGTCCTCTGCTACTGTTATAAGTGATGCCTGATCAGACAGAAATGGTATTTTTTTAATATTTCTCATACTTTATGCAAAAAACCAGTTCCCTCCAATCCATTTTCAAAGGCTGTGTTGCTAAATATTTAACTGACAGGGAGATTTTCACATGAGTCCACATAAATCGTGTATTCAGCCTTGAATGACAGAAAGAAAAAGGAAGTTTTGAAAGTCAGTAGGCACGAAAAAGCCATCCCCAGCTGAGGGAGTTACACTCATTCATTCCTTGACTCTTCACTAGAGGAGGTCATTCTCCTTCCAAATGATGTCTGGTTTCCTAAAATCTAGTGGTCCCTGCCCTAACAGATAATTACATTGATTGTGCCTCCATGTGAATCATGGAATCATACATCAGCATGGGTTGGAAGGGTCCACCCTTTTGTGGGAAAGAGAGCCTAGGAGAGGTTACCTAGAATTCTGTCCAAACACATCTTGAAAACCTCCAGTGATAGGTACTCCACCGCCTCCCTAAAGAGGTTGTCCCAGTGATTGGTTCCTCTCACTGTAAAAAAAAATACTTTTGTATAACAACATGAAACTGCTTCTACTGCAAGCTGTACCCAATGTCCCTTGCCTTCTCCATGTGGCTCCCTGTGAAGAGAAAGCCTCCATCCTCTTTGTAACTACCTTTTAAGTACTGGGATACTGTGATGAGGTCCTCCTTGAGCCTTCTCTTCTCCAGGGGGAAAAGACTTCACTCCTTCAATCTTTCCTCATAGGGCAGGTTCCACAGTCCTTTGATGATCTTTGTGGCCTATTTGTGTACTCTCACCAGCCTGTTTGCATATTTTTTGAATTGTGGAGACCAGAACTGGACACAGTATTCCAGGTGGAGGTTTTTGCCCTTCCCTCTACACAGTCTTCTGTCAGAGGCTGGAGGGATTCCCATCAGAAGTAGGCTTTGAAGCTAACCACAGAGCTAAACGTTACCTCAGGCTCTCAATCACTGAAATAGCTGTATTCAAGTTCATCTTCCTAAGCTGTTTTGTTGCAATCAAAAGGAAATGGAGCTTTTTTAATTATACAAAGTTTAACTCATAATTATTCAGAACCAAGGAATTTAAATAAGAGCAGTAGTACCTCTGGTTGGGGGGCAGAGTAGGGAAGGAGAGGACAAGAGAGATAATAAGGTAAGTAAGAATAGAATCAGCTCACTTAAATGGGCAACATTTTTATTTCAGAAACAGCTTGTTCACAGATGCAAGGAGAGAGCCACAATACCTTGGTTCCCACTGTCTCCTCCCATCAAAGCTAAAACCACATTGTGAAATGATTTGGGACACAACTTACGGATTTCATCAGTTTGAACAGTTATAATCAACAAAACCTACCAAGTCTATCTTTCAGCTTCATCTGTGTAATTTCATCATCTGTGGAGATTCAGCTTCGAACAAAAACAATCTGGCATGAAGTCAAGGCTGCCTAAACACCACCACAGTGCCTTTCCAATAAAGCATTTCAGACAGAGATAGCTGTTATTTTCTTACACCCTAAGCCAGTAAATGAAATTATCCTGGGTTTAGGGCCTCACCATATCTAGTCACACTAACGTAAGACACAAGTGGTCATTCTGGTTTTTCCCATTTCTAAGGGAGCACTTGTTATAGATAATTTTTTAACAAAAGTGCAGGTGAAGAATAACAACCTCATTCACTGGGACCTCCTGTCCCTTCTCAATACTGTATTTATAACATATTTAGAAGGGTTATAAGAATTAATGCCAGCAGGTTTTGCCCTCTAGTGGAACATGAAGCAAAACACAACACATAATTAGAAGGGTAATAGGTATAGATTGATCATGTAGACCCTGACCACGTGTTTAGTGGATGCCTGGAGATACAGCAAGTTTCACGAGCAATGAGTCACACTGCATATCATCCCTTATCCTAAGAGATGAGGAGTGGAAGAACTGCAGGGAATGTACAGAGATAACAGTCCAGGTATAGTTGAGAATGGAAAAAAATTCGCATGCTAGCAGGATGTTGTTTACAGAAAGGGTCTAACTGTTTGAAATTTCAACACCTGATACCATGTTTTCTGCTACTTCAATTATTTATGACAAAAAATTAAATAATTTAAAAACCCCACAAACATTAATAGCTCAGAATGTATTGGGTGGTGCAGGAAATAATAGGCAAATATTGTCAGGATTTTTATCAACATATATTGACTCAAATGTTAAATATTCACCATGTGGAAAACAAAATTAATCTTCCTTTTCTTACAGAAGAATATTAATATTACAGATGAAAACCAAAAAAATTTCAAAAAATTCCAAGTGAAGAATATTTACTTTTGGGGTGAATACACCTCTGTTTGTATTAAGCTAGCCCAGTATTGACATCTGGTTACCCTGCTTCCCAAAAGAACACCTAACATGATATACCAAAAAATTAAACTATCTTAATTTTCTTCAGACAACTTTTCCCTGCCTTATTCACTTTTCTATTCAAATTTTTGACTTTCTAGCATTGTTTTCATTAGCAACAGCAAATACCCATTTTGATTTTTAAAAAATGGCTTTAGTGGTCATATGATCTATTTGCTTGTTCATGTGAATGCCCTTCAGTGAACCAGGAAACTTGTCAAAAAACACTTGATCATAAAATCATTGCTGCCTCAGTAAACAGGTCAGCCCAGTTCAGTAAAAATTTAAACTGAACAAAACCCAGCCTATCAAATGTGATCTGGTGAGGAAACCATGACATAGCCTAAAGAAACAGTACCTAATGACTGGTTTTAACCTCTTGCATCTCAAACAAAGCACGCTGTACATCTCAGACTGTGATAATCTCTCCTGGCACCAAGGTCTGATCATTTGCAGATTCTGTGTTAGGAAAAGAGGACATGGCAAGGATGCATCTGAGAGGTTCCAAACAACATCTTCTATGGACTTCCACAACTGATGCTTTTCTAGCACCAGACAGGGGCTCTATTGAGGTACCTTGTGCCAGCTGCTCTTCAAAAAGACTTCGGTTAAGACACAGGGCACAGTGTTCACCTTACAAAGCTCATTAGCCAGCCCTGTTACCCACACACCTTGGATTACAGACATTTTTGTCTAAATTCTCCACTGTTGTTTCAAAGAAACAGAACGTCAGCAATAACATGATGCCCTTTGTACTGGCAAGAGACAACTGCTTGTCAGGGTGATAGGTAGAGCTACTGTATTGCTCTCAGGTTATACTCCCTTTGCTCAGTCCCCAAGAAAAAAATAAATACCCCATTAATTTAATGTGGGTAAATGTTAAAAGTAAACTGAGAATGAGGGATGAAATAGATTATTCCTCCTTCAGAGAAGAAATAGTTTGAATGAAGAGTCATGGGAGCTCTGTCCTAGCTGGTCTGGAGGAAGCAAGACCTCACACAAGCTGTGCCAAGGAAAGTAGAAGCTATAATATCTCCAGGGAATCTGGAGATAGGCTTAGTTGAGATGCATCTCCCAGAGCACCCACCACTACTGAATCCTAATGACTCAGCTGAATTTTGACTAGAATTAAAATTATAAAAGTCTGACAAAGCTCTTGAATCACACCATACTTGATGCTCACCTTGTTGTACAAAGAGTTGTGTCTGTAGAGGCTACAAGAATTGTTGTGAACATCACATGTGATGGAAGACAAGTAGCTGAAAGGTCCAGAATTTAGACAGTCAGTGAGGGAGACGGATAGAGGATGCAAAGGGGACTTGGAGAAATCAGTTTAGTTGGATACAGAAGGTGTAGGAGAGCAGTCTTCGATGGGGGGGGTGGTGGGGGAAGAGTAAACAGAAACAGATTAATGGGTGCAAAAAAGAAGTTTGGGCAGAAAGCTAAGTGCAACTTTTTTACAGTTCATAGGTCTTGATGATTCACTAGAAAAAGTACTTGTGTGCACACACAAAAACTTGCTGTAGGTGTCCCACTGAACCAATTATACTTTTGACTAGGGTCCAGTGCATCTCCCTCCTGCTGCTCAACTGATGCTCAAGTGACAGAAAAAGAAAGCCCTGAAGGATCTTGTGCTAGGATAAAATGGCCACATTTGGGACATTTTATGAGAGGGTGGACTGGGGCCAAAACGAATATGAAAACAGTGCCTGAGACTTTAGATGACTCTAACAAACCTTTTCAGATATTTAAGAGTTAAACCAGTGAAGGTGCAAACACAACATATTTCACTGCTCTAAGTTGTCAGTAGTTAACAGTGTTTCTGGTTAAAAAAAAAAACAAACCACAATATGTATGTTCTTTTTGTACCTAAAGGATAAAATACTTTTTAAAAAAAGATTTTGGCACACATCTCACACTTAGGTTTTTGTCAAGGCTGCTGACATAATACATCCTGAGTTCTCACCAACTTGGCTGGCTGAGTTTAGACCAGAAACTTCCCTGTGCTATGCCTTTTGATCTCTAGAACAGAAAACTTGTGGCAAGAGCTGTGATTAGTTCCAGCACAAACTAATGCATTGCTCACCAAAATAGTGAGTGTGAGCAAAAAAGTGGATCAGAGCCTGGAAGGAGTCACTTCACACCAACCTTGCCTCCTTGTCAGAGGCACCAGTTCCGCTTCTGTTAATGAAAAACCTTGGCAAACTGGTCTCACAGGTTCATTCCAAGTGTAACTAATATCTCTTTAGTTCATCCTTATCTGGCTTCCTTCACTGCCTAAAGTGGTTTATTTTTTTTATATGACAAAGGAGTCTAAGTACATTCTTGCTAATAAATATTTGCAAGCCAATTAATTCTCTAACATTCTTTATGAGTCTTTTACTATTATGTAACAAAATGTCTTATTTTTCCCCCAGAAAGATTCTGTTTCCCCAATTTGAAATCAAAATCTTCATAAAGCCATCATATCAGCACTGTTCATGAGTTACATCTACTTCCGGTATATTTTGTGGTGCTTTTTTGAACAAATTGCAGCATACCTGCAAAATTATTGAAACGTTACTGAAATGTACTCAAATGAAAAAATTCCTTCTCATGATGGGAAAAATACCATCTCCAGTTAAGACATCCAAAAATGTGAAAGCTTAAAATGGTTGGATTGGAACCTCAGAAATAATATACTCTGTCTGTAAAAAGTGTTTGAAGGTGATATCCACAACCTCTTTACAGTCTATCCAGAACACAGATGAAAAGAGCTATCTGTGAGCTGAGTTTCGTCTTTTACAGATGATCTTTACCAATTTTTTTTTTCCTCTATTCATCACTTTGAATTGTCTGCACAAGAACAGCTACCTGTTACAGAAAAAACTGCTATTATTTTATAAGGGAAATGGTCTTTTTCCACATAGAGACTTGTCTTAATGAAATGAAAAGCAAACAAGCTACTCTCTGGTGTGCAAAAAAACCTTTGTGTTCAACAGAGGGACATGAAGCTGAGGGTCACAAGTTACAGCTGCCTGCATCATTATGTCTCAAACTGGATGTCACTCACATAGTCACCAGTGGTCAGTGTCACACTGGGAGGTTTGCAAGGACAAAGAGATACTACAGAGGTCTAAGAAAAATCAAAAGAGAGACATTAATAAAGCTGATATCATCTGGAATCTCATTTAGTCTCTATCCTCCTCAAAGATGTAGTCCGAAAGGGACTGTCATTTCAAGATGGTCTAGGTGAAGAAGGGCAGCAACATCATCAAGAGAGGTTGTTGTTCATAATAGTACTAGAGAAAAAGAAAAACTCAGAGAGAGGGAGGGGAAAGAAATGTAGGAGCTGAACCTCCCAGCATGACTAGGAAAATCTTCAAAGAAAACCTGAGAAAATCAGTAAGAGTATGAGCAGTTTTGCTCTCAGCCACAGTCAATGCCTGCTAAATTCTTATTTGAGGACAAGTGGATTAGCACCAGCTCTTCCACAGAGAGCAGAATGCTTAGCTCCTAGTCTCCTAGTTTTAATTCCCAGCTCGTTTATCCCATGAAAGCAGTAAATTTACCTGATTTGGGGGCAACACTGGCAGGAACAGCTCCCCCTCTCTGGAAGTCAGCCACCATGCAGCCAAAAATTCTCTCTTACTGAGAGCAGGTGAAGAGGGAGAATAAGTGTCTTTAAAGGCTAAAAATCCAGTGATTAGAGACAACCACAGCAATTTTCAAACTACTGTCTGGGCACCCAGCCCAGTCCCAGTCAGTGCTGCAGCACTCTTACAGGCACTAAAATCCCTCTGGAGAGTTTCACAGGTGCTGTAAGATTGTGAACATCCTCATGTGGGCACCCAAGTCTCCTCTACCCACAAGGGACTTATATTAGCACCATAAAACTACTCTGAGAGGCAAGAGCTGAAATGAAAAGCATATGCTGTCTTCTTCAGCACTTTAGTGTTTTCCCTAGATCGGATACGATTGTACTATTAACTGTCCTCCTAGACCACCACTAGAATCACATAGCCATTTCTCACACAAACAAAACCAGTTTCTGTTAAGTAAGTGAATCCATCTGAATACAAGTCACAGTACTTCTTTTTTCAGAATGAAGGTGTCTTAATAGACATCTTCTAAAATAACAAGTATTTTACAGAAACTTGTAATATTAATTGGGTTAGGATAAAAATATAAATTTATCAATATTATAAGGCACACAACAGTGTTCTTTCAAATAAAGGAAGAAAAATTGAGCATATTAATTGTGAAATTACCTTTTCTAGCTATTAAAGTCAGTGCATGATTTTTTTCTTTCATTTTAATATGTAGCTTTAATATGAAATTATTTTGGCTTCTGTTGTAACAACCACATTGATTAATGGACTTCAGTACTTCAGTAATATGTACCACAAGTAACTTATAAAGTGTAAGTTGATTGGTTTCCACAGTTAGCTTCAAATGTCAAAATGCTTCAAGCTATGGCAATAAGTCCAGGTTTGTATTTGCCTGAAAAGATGAAGTTTGATGATTACATCATTCTTTCATCAGCAAACCTATAGCCAGCAGAATCAGTGCCCAGACCTGATGAAAGAGAGGCATGAGTTGGCTCTGCCTTTGCAGGAAGGCTCCACCGAGGTGGCCTAGGGCAGAAGCTCCCCAGCAATAGCTCCAGGTCCGCTCTCCTGCTCTTTCATTCCAGACAAATGGAAGTACAGTACCTTGGCATCAAAAGGTTTTCAGTAAGTTAAAGCATGAATAATGCACTATCAACTCACCTGTGGTATCTGAACTCAAATTTTCACAGTCAACATCAAAAGTTCAGAGTAAAATTGTAAATCACTATTTTAGTTCATTTTTTTCCTTATATTTCATGTAAACTCTACATTCTATAGAAACCTTCTGATGCCACTCATATGTGTTGCTGGAATCCACTTATACTGTAATTAATTCACCTCTCTTTGGACTGCTGCAATACCCTTGAAAAACTTGGATTTTTCTACAGCAAGTTATGAGGACGAAAGAACTAAAATTAAAATCTTAATTAAATTCTCTTCTAAAGGGAGAGAGCTGCCATTGCTTAAATTTCTAGTGTGACTAGGGAGCCATAGGAGTAAGAGAAATTAAATTATTATGGTATTTTCTTCACATTGTGTCTGACAAGAGGACTATTGGCTTAATTTTTCTTCCCTCCAGATGGAAGATTTGAAACATATTGGATAGCTTAATAACAGGGACGTTTAGATTATGAATCACATTTAAGGTTTATTTGGCAATAACACACACAAACAGAAATGTATGAGAAAAGGCTGTCAGTGCTGTTTATCTGAGGTTTTTCCAAGATAAGGACTCACAGGTCAGCAAAGTTCAAGATGTGTTTTTGCAAAGTGATCCTATGGCTTCAGGCAGAGGGCTGTGGAAGAAGAGAGCACCTTTGCTGCCCCACAGGCTGCCCATTAATGCCCCTCACATGTGGTAGAAGAACTGTACCCTCAAGCTGTGGAGTAACATGGATATGAACCTTGGGAGCTACACACTGGGGAGTGACATAGAAACACACTGGGGCTCCTCTTCAGTCTTCCTTAGAGAGGGAAGAGTGAACCTTGCCAAGTCCTTGCTGTCATTTCTCTTTTGAGAAGATTCTGGTCTTGGCCCCAAATGAAAGAAGAACTTTCTAATAGATCTGATCTAGACACCTGCTTGACAGGGAAGCACAAGATTACAACTTTCTTTTTTTATAGTGTTTCCTACAGACATCATAAAGTGATCCTCTACTCAACAGACAGGTTTTCACATTATCAGAAAAAACGTCCCTGTGGAAAGCCCAGCTGCCCACCTCCAGCTTGAAGACCTTCCTTTAGTAGCCAGGTGCCCCTTGGGGAATCATCTAACTTTGCCAAAAAAAAAGAAGAGACCAGGACAAAATCAGAAACTCTGTTTATTCCATCATCTTTAAGGAAACTAGCTGAGGCTATAAAATCCTTCAGAGTGAAAGCTACTCACCTGTTCAATACCTTGATCACTGATTTCTTCAAGGTACTTTTTAAAAGGATTGGGTTGATAGGGCTCCTCCTTTTGCTGTGCACTCTTTCCTTTCACCAGCATGGGACGAATGACACCGGGTTTTGTCTTGACCCATAGAACACGCAGGAGAAAAGAGATGGAAGAAAAATAACATAAAATACTGTACTGACTAGATTTTGAGAAGTTTTATGAATGATATATTTCAGCACCAAAATTATTCAGGTGTCATGCTGCCTGGACTACTTTTAATGCAGATTGTAGACAAAAATGGCAAGAGACGTTTTTAGGCACAGAACCTCATAGCTACTGAGCTGTCAGTAGCTCAGTATGGTTTGTGGGTTTTGCTGTCTGTTTATTTGCTGGCTGTTCAGCTGCATCTTGATAAGTTCAAGTCACACTTTATGCACAACTACACTTCTGCTTTCACACTAGGCTGCTCAAAACACGAACTGTGAAACAAGGAAAGACAACTTGTGATGATGTAATTTAACTTACAACCAGGTTAAGGGAAAGTCTTTCTGAGGACTAATAGCAATGATTGTATGCTGGATTTTATAGAGTCATAGAATCACAGAATCATTTAAATTGGAAAAGGCCTCTAAGATCATCAAGTCAAACCATTGACCTACCACTGCCAAGTCCAACACTAAACTGTATCCTTAAGTGCCACAGCTTTCCAGCCACTCTGCCCCAAACCTGTAGTGTTCCATGGAGTTGTCATGACCCAAGTGCAGGACCTGCTTCTTGGCCTTGTTGAAACTCATACAGTTGGCCTCAGCCCACCGATCCAACCTGTCCAGATCTCTCTATAGAATCTTTCTACCCTCCAGCAGATCAACACCCAATTTAGTGTCAACTGCAAACTGGCTGACTGTGCACTAAATCCTCTCATACAGATCATTGATAAAGATACTAAGCAAAACTGGTTTCAATACTGAGTCCTAGGGAACACCACTTGTGTATTCCCACAGCCACTGGCTGGATTTAACTCCATTCACCAACACTCTCCAAGCCTGGCCATCCATCCAGTTTTTCACCCAGCAAACCACCTGTCCAACACATGAGCAACCAGTCTCTCAGGAGAATGCTGTGCAAAATAGTGTCAAAAGCTTTACTAAAGTCTAGATAGACAACATCCACAGCCTTTCAATCATCCACTAAGCAGGTCACTTTGTCAAAGAAAGAGATCAGGTTAGTCAACCTGTACTTCTCTAGATCCTCCTTGTGGCCTGTCTTGTAGATGGATATCTCATTTGCTCACCTCCAGTCAGCTGGAACCTCCTCAATTAGCCAGGAGTGCTGGTAAATGATTAAAAGTGGCTCAATAAGCACTTCTGCCAGCTTCCTCAGTACCCATTTGGCCCTGTGGACTTGTGAGTGTCTAGGTGGTGTAACAGGTAGCTGACCATTACCCCTTGGAATATAGGGACTTCATTCTGCTCCCCACATCCTTCTTCCAACTCAGGAGGCTGGTACTCAAAAGAACAATTGGTCTCACTATTAAGATTGAGGTAAGGAAGGCATTAAATACTTCAGCGTTTTCCTCATTCTTTGTCACTATCTCCTGATATCCAATCAAAGATGGAGATTCTCCTTAGCCCTCCTTTTGTTGCTGATGTATTTATAGAAACATTTTTTATTGTCTTTTACATCAGTGGCCAGATTTATTTCTAGTTGGGCTTTGGCCCTTCCAACTTTCTCCCCCCATAATCTCTAAACATCCCTGTAGTCTTCCTGAATTGCCTGTTCCTTCTGCAAAAAGGTATAAATTACCATTTTTTCCCCAAGTTTTAGCCAGAGCTCTCTGTTTAGCCAGGCCAGCCTTCTTCCCCAAGAGCTTGTCTTTCAGAACATGGGGATGGCTTGCTACTGCCCCTTAAATATTTCCTTCTTGAAGAATGTCCATTCTTCCCACATTCCTTTGCTCTTCAGAACTGACCCCCAAGGGACTCTGCCAAACAGCCTCCTAAACAGGCCTGTCCGAAAGAAGGCAGAATGTGATTCCAGTAATCTATCTCTTGTACTCCCTGGTACTCTTCAACCTGTTCACCTCCTCCCAGGGTGCTGTCACTGAGTGAAGGAGCTCCTCTACATGGGCCCACCACCTCCCACAGGGGTTTTCACTGCTGTTGCCATGGCTCCTGGCACCATTCTCAGCTCCCTCTGAGGTTCCCCTGGCTTGGGAAACCCCTCTGCGCACCCTGCTAGAATACTCCACTGCCGATCATGCCAGCACCAGAGCTGCTCCCCTCAGTGACTGACTCACAGTATCTTTAACAGTTCACCTGGAAAAGTGGAATTTTAGTGAATTTAATCAGCATGGATATGTGATACCCATAATTTCAGACAAATTGGATTGTTTAATCAAGAAAAAATTCCTTGGTTAGCCACCAGTCAACCCAAAAATTTTACTATGAACTTCTCAATTCAGTACATCGGTGATTTTTTGAATTCTTACAGTAAAATCTAACAAGATGTATTGTGGCATCAACTCTAAATGGAGGTTAAGGGATAATTTTTAAATAGACTTGTTCAGTAAGGAAAAAAAAAAGGAAGAAAAAGCATACTTTCTCACTGTAATTTCATAAGTTAAGTTTCGGAAGGTCTGTTATTGAATTTAGAGTTCTAAATAAGTCAATTGTGTTCTTCTCTGTTATGACTACCCCGTAGAAATTGGGTGATCCCTGTCACAACTTATATAGGTAACAACAGGTCTGCTGCTGAGCTCCTTCTGTGATTGCTGTACAGAGGGGCAGATTGCCCAGCTGGGACTGAGAACAGGTGCTGTCACAACTCCCCATCCTCAGTATCCAGCTGGGTATAAAAATACAGAGAAAAAACTTGATTTACTATTATATTTATTTATACAATATATTTGTACACTTAATAACACCATGCTGTCTATTTATAAGAGCAGTAGACTTCTGCAGTCTGTCTGGAAAAAAAGTAAGCAGCTTATTATGAAAGCAAGCTTAAAAAGATGCAGCTGAGATTGCTGGATGCAGCATGCAAACTGAGTTATGGATCACCTTAAAATGAGATCTGCAGACAACCAGCAAGGATAAGGCAAGAGGGGTGTCCATTGGAGGGGAGGGTACAGGAGGCAGGAAATGTCCTGATGTTTTGTGCTCTGTTTCTGCCCTGGGAAAGGACAGAGCAGTGCCCAGGGTCTGAGGTGAAGACAGCAGAGGCAGGGAGGAGCACAATGCATTTGGGAAGAGCAAAGCCCAGGAACCAAAACATCTTCCCTTAGCTTTGTGTTTTATCCCCTCCTCCCTCCTTTCAACAGGTTGGGTCACTTTCATTTGCCTCCTAAGTAAGAAAAATATACAGCTGAAAGCAAAAAATCAGCCATGCAGTCATATTGTTTTTAAAGAGTAATAACTGTCAAGTTATTATTATTATTACTCTTACATATCAAAAACTTTTTAATTACAAAGATCAACTTAGTGAAAGTTGCAGTGCTCATTTAATGAATTTATGGTCCATAGTTCATGACTTATCTTTGTAGGATTCATCATAAAATACTTATTTTCCTATCAACATTTCTGAAAAGCATCCGTAAAAATGTCTGGCTTTCAACAGAAAGGTAAATATAAAGCTAAAAAGAAAGGTTCACTTGTTATTGAGTCATCATTACATACAGACAAAGGACTTGTGGCCTTCTAGCACTCCTCCACACCATGTAACCACGCAATTAAAAGCCCATTGAGGTACCTGAAATCATCAAGGATAAGCTACTCTCCTTATGTAAGAAACCTCTTCCAAAAGCATGAGGTAGAAATGCTTTTAAGGTCACATTTTCCAAACAACAATCATGCACTCAAGTGCTGACTGAGTCATATGTTTATGTCTGATGCTGCTAACAGAGTGACAGATATCAACCAGAATTCTAAATACTTTATTAGCTCTCTGAGAAGCTACATAAAATCTTTGATCCAAAACTAAAAACTTGAACTCTCCTTGACGGTGGTTGTCACAGCTGACACTGCTGAGAAACAAGCTAAAACTTAGTTTTGCCAAGGAAAATGTTGGTCTTCCTACAATAACATTAAAAAATGGTAAAGGCTATTATGGTACCGCTGGGCTGCCATGATACGTTTACAGTCCTTCCAACAAATTACACAGGGCCCAGACACAAGTTCCAGAGCTGACTCATAATCAGAGGTACTGATTTAGTGCCACAGTGCTCTCTGGCATGTTTTTGGCCCAGGTCAGCAAGTGCACAATCAGAAATAAGCTATAGGCTGGGCCTCTCTATAGGAAGTATAGACGTAGCCACCCTCCTTCAGGGTATTTTGCATGAAAATGAGCCTTGCACGATATTTGTCTGAAAAGTCAGACAACTGAACTTCTCATTGGCAGGTGTATGGCCACGTTCACCTCTAAGTTTTTCCTCTGCTGTTATGACGCTGACTGGCCCTGAGATCTTGCTGAAAATGGTGGGTCAGGTCCCAATTGCAACCCCACCCCTGCTCACATCACGGGGGTTGAAACTAGTTGGTCGCTAAGGTCCCTTCCAACCCAAACCCTTCTATTATAGTGAGTCAGAGACTACCCGAAAAGAGAAGTAATTTGCCAAATAATAAATCCTGCACAATTTCTAAGTCAAAATGTAACTACTGAAGAATAACTCATGAGTGGAGATCATGGTGTGCTCAGAGACAACATTGCTGCCTGAACAAAAACACGCACAAGAATTCCAGTGTAGTGATAGCAACTTAAAACCAGTGAAATAAAATAGTTAGTTAAACAATTACAATAGTTACTAAAAAAAAAAAAAAAAAAAAAAGAAAAAAAAAAGAACTGTCAAAAGGATGAAATGGTTATAAATGACTGGAATACTGGAATGCTACTTAAGACAGTAACATTGAGAGAAGCTGTGCATCACCTCATAAAGAGACTTGAAGAGACCAATAAATACTGAAATGTTCAAAGAGCAGTGCAAAAGAGAAGTGAAAAATGGAATAAGGAGGAAAAGGCTCTGAAGATAGGAAGTTAAGAATCTAAGAAAAAAAAATCTAGCCCTTAATATCAAAATGTCATGCATTAGGCCAACAAAGACTTTGAGAAAAAAACTTGCTAAATTTCCTCACAATGAAATGTCTCTGGGGCCAGTAAATATAACTGAGGCATAAAAACCATTCATGAAGAAGAGAAGATCAAGGCTGAAAATTAATTCCCCACTTCAGATTTCCCCACAGGAATACTTAGGAAAGTTGTCACATTGTCAAAGAAATATTCTGGAGGAACTGCCTCAAGTACAGTGTTAATAACACAGATTTGAGAAAAAATCAATAAAACGAGCAATTAAAGCTCAAGGAATAAATAAAGTTGTAAAGCAATTCCAGTGTGAAACCATGAAGGGGACCAGGAATCACAAATCCATACATGTGACATTTCAAGCTGTGCAAAGTCGTAGGAACAAATTATACTGAAGAGCAGAATTAGTATACAATTGAAAAAATTTTGAAAAACAGTGTATCAGAGTTGTGCCATACATACCATCTGACTCTCTGTTACCATAGGCACCGATTTGTAAAGGCTGGCCTGCAAAAAAGGTGAATATACACAGTATTATATACAATATCATAGTGATTATAACAATGACAGAAGAAAAATCCATGTACAGCACTATGCTTAGCCACAGAAGCTTTTCCCACTGATGCAGTAATATGCAATTGGAAAGAGAATATAAAACATTCTCATTTCTAGTTTATTTCTAGATATAACCAAATATAAATGCTTATTGTTAAGATTTTAGAGATTCTTTTCTCCAAGTGCAAAAAAATTTCACTTTTTCACCTTGATCTAATCTTGAAATTTAAAGCCTTACTTTTCTGAGCCTGTCATTGTCTGTTAATTTGCAGCATCGATGTCATTAACACTGTCAGTTGTACTGGGACCTCAGTCCAATCTTCTCAACCCTTTCTGACTTTACAGTGGGGAAACCAGAATAATACTACTTAAGCAATATCTTTTTTTTCTTTATCTGAGTATACATTGAACAGCAGGGACCCTGTTTTCCAGATTAATGACAAATGTAATGAATGCAAAGTAGCTGAGTGTGTGTGTGAAATAACCATGTGCCACTTATTTGTCCTCACACCAGTGAGATTCGGGTGCATTGATCTCTCCTCCCAACTCCTTCAAGCCCTGTAGGAGTACCATTGGATAATACAGTTTTTCTGTATAAATAGCATGACCTTCCTTCATGTAGGTGTGATCTGGAGGCCTTGAGACTCTAAAATGGGAATACTCTTCAGTACAGTGGTAAAAAAAGTACGACAGTTAGATGTTAGATGTTATAAGCTGGAGTAGATAACAAGTCAATGCCATTACATCTTGCACCCTCTACTAACTACAGTTAGATTTTTATCAACTCAACTAGATGTTTCTCTCACTGTTTCAGTTATAAAAGTAAATCCAGCATGTTTAAAAAGGGAAGTTTTCTTCTTTTGTTATCTTGTGACAAAGACCTTTGAGAGATGTGGCCACCGAACTCCAGCTGTGGGCTCTCAGGTGCTAAGTAGAGATGTTTAGTCACTCCGTGGACCTCTTGGTTCTACTCCTACTTTGGTCTTAATAGCAGAGTCGACATGAGTCATGGTGGAGGACTGTGCTCCTTACTGAGAGCACCCACAACTCTAAACACAGATGCTGCTGGAGGAAACCTTCCCAACCAGTCAGGGGCTGAATCCCAAGCAGTTGTGATTTAGCACTAAATCTACACGAAGTGCCTCTTCTGCCCTTGACAGAGTAAACTAGAGTTTTCAGTAGTGGTTACTTATGTACTAGGGACTCATTCCTACCACGAACCAGCCATGTGCAGTGGCTAATCTTACTATGAGCTTAAAGACATCAAAACACTTCAGAATGATCTACAAATACAAGCAGGATGGAATAAATTGTCTAAATTCAGTGGCGCAAATTAAGAATAAATCTCATTTCAAAGGGGTTACCTGAGATATGTGTGAGCACAGCAGACCACATACAAAGAAAACTACTTATTTCTGCATATCTGTGTGCATTTTTAGCTGCTTCATGTTCTCCCATCTTTTTCACTTGTGATTCATATCTATAACACTTAAAAAAATTTTTTAGACTGGAATTTTCAAGAAGAGCAAAAATGTCAATAATATGGACATTAATTTTTCCAATTAATCAGGAGAAATTCTTATTTTGAGAATTATTATTCCAAATCAGTGGTATCATCCCTACAGCCAACAGATATGCACTATTATAAAATGGTGAATGGGATCCTATCAAAGACCATACAGTTTTAAAAGTTATTAAATTGCAGCTATAGTACTTAGTTGTTAGCTGGTACAAACTGCTGTAATTTCACTGAAGTCAGTGATGCTTTCATACTTTTTATACACTCCCTTGCTACTTGCACAGTTATTTACATCCCTAAATGGTTCTGTGTACATGAGAAAATAAAAGGTAGTTGAAGACAAAGCAAATCTATGACATTTTAATTGTTAAATGGCAGGCTATTCCAACATATTTGTGTATCTACTACTCTATATAATCTATTGAAGCAATTAACAATATAATAATGTGTGCATACATATACCTTTATATGTTTGTGGTTATAAATAATACTTTAGCATTACTCATAAACAGATTAAAGTTTCTGTTTTAACAAAAATGCCCTCAAAACAACATTTTGACAAGTATCTAAATATTAGACAGCATAAATATAAAAGGATTAAGAAAATAATATTGCTAAATTAACATTTTAATTTTTTCCAGTAAAATTAATTGCATAAACTAAAAGCCTCCTACTCAAAAGCAAAAAATAAGATTTGGAATAAGAAATAAAAAGATGGGTAAAAATTAATACTACGAGACAGCTCAAAGAGTCATCCAAGACCTCCTGGTATTACTCACAAATTGTGATGTATAGATGCTATTTGGGACACCTGAAACATCCCTCAGGAGACTCTGCTGCAAAGTACAGCTGGCAGAGTCCAAGAAAGTCTGGATCCACCAAGTTCAGGCACCACAGCACAGCCTGGGAACCTCAGTCTGTTTTCTGACACACAGAAAATTCAATACGCTTGCACAGCTTATAGGAAAGGTTAGCTTATCAATAATCCCCTTTGTTCTTCCCAGACATGTTTTTAAATATTGAATTTCTTTTCTTTATCTAGAAAGTTCCAGTGGAGACTTGAAATAAAAGTGTTTGTAAGGGTGATTTTCCATGCCAGCAAAGAGAAACTAACTGTATCCCTAGGCATATAAGTTGGATGCCTGAATTTATGGTATATGCCAGCCACAGTTTTGAGAGCTGGAGATCTGCATTGGAGTGGTATTAAATACACTCTGTTTTCACAGACTACCTCTCAAGTACACTCTTTTATTTCATTAAAAAGCTTTCTTCCGATATTCTTCCTAATTAATATGAGCCAGCACAATCTGTCAAGTAAAAATCACAGCATGCAATAAAATATGCATACTGCCACATTCAAGCAGCAAGATTGATCAGTCAAGCATTGTACTGTCATAAAACTGGGAGACCTTTATTGCTTTGCCAGCACTGCTTTGATTTGAGGTTCAATGGAAGTGCTGAATAATGAATAGTAAGCTGAGGATTCTCACCCCATGACTAGATTAGCTGCAAGTATAATGCAGAAACTGTGTGTGCTAGTGAGAATTAAAATGTTAATTGGGTTTAATGTTTCAATAATTGAATAAATTACTCAATATAGATATTTTCATCATATGTTGGAAAATGTGTGTATGTGACAAAAAAGCTTCTATTCATCTAAACTGTGGGGTTTCAGCCAGCTCTATACCTTGAAAAGAAAAGTTTGGGTCAACCACAAATTCTGATGGATAATCAAGAACTAAAGGACTTCTACCAAAGCAAGTCCTATACAATGCAGGCTGAGCCCAAACAAACCCTTCAGCACCCATAACAGTCTGTTTGCCAAATAGCTGAGCTTTTGCCCCATGCTTGAAGGAAACAACAACAAACAAGTACGTGAGGAAATTAATTTTAACATCATATTCATAGAGGTAAAATTATCAACAGACACCACACTGAAGAGACTCCAGACATGATGGATTTACAACAGTGAGAAGACATCTCAAGTCTCAATTGCCAGCACTGTAATATATTCACTTCACTGTGTTAGTCAACACCTGATGTCACAAGCAGAGGTCTGTGCAGAGTTACCCAGTGTTGTGTAAGAGGAGAAAAAGTAAACATTTCTGCATGAAAAATATAGAGTAATTATAAAAGCACTTACATATTTGGTTTCACGTCCAGCTGCTTTCTGCAGTGTTGTTGAAATCTTGTAAAAAAAAAAAATACATAAAAGATATATTTAGTTACTCCGAAGAGTAACTCCAAAAGGTTTTCAACATTGTGAGAAGTTATTAATTGCTTAAATTCAGGAAAACTTAAGTTTTCCAGAAATAATCACACAATACGTAAGAATAAGGTATGTTTAAGTTTTCCTTGGTAGAAAATACTACTTATACTGCTCAAAAACATTGAACACCACTCTATTGAGGATGACATTTAATTTATCTCTGTGAACTCTTGTAACAAAATGCTTATTATTAGATACATGTGCTTGCCCCATGAACTTTAAGTTACATTTGCTCACAAAATAACCTGAAATGTTATGTTTCTATGCTCTCATTTGTAAGAACTTGCTTTCATGTGACTAAAAGCATTTACTTGTACACTCTTATTTTTTTCTTGTCTATGACCTTCTTTTACCTTCTGTTAAGCACTTTTTTTATCTTATTCTGAGATCCTCACAATCTTTAGCTTGGTCCCCATCCTGCATCCTGTTAAACTCACCTTTTGCCCACTTTATTTGGTTTCATGACTGCTAACAGATACCTTCCATTCTCAATTGCCCAAGGAAGTAGGTTTTGGATGCTACAGCTCACGTTAGTAATAGCATTTTAACCACTTCAGATACTTCAGGCATTGGAAAACATACTCTCAATAACAACATCTGCCTGCTTCTTCAGCTGCCATCAAGTTTGTCTTTCAGACTCTTGAAATTCTATTCACCACTGCATGCTGATTGACAGAAGTAATTTCAAAAATGAAAACTAACTTTGAAGTTTACACTGAATATAGCCACTCAGAAATGCTGGATCTGTGCCCTATTTTTGCATGGTGAACTAGACATTCCACAGGATATTTTGAATGTGTTCATTTGCCATAAATTCCTTTCCTCCCATTTCCAGTTGGATTTCTGCCATTTTCATTTTCCTACAGCTAGCAGGACCAACTTAAATTTACCTGGAGCAAACAGAATACAGGACCTTCTTCCACTGGTTAGTCATTCTTCTGAACCCAGAAGTCACATCAGTACAACTTAATGAAACCAGAAGTTTAGAAACATAAAATTAACCCTGCCTCTCACTACCTGTTTCTTAGTTATTTAGGATAAATCAATATTGCAGACATCATCCTTCTAGGAGAGGCCACAGTAAAAATGAAATCAGAACTTTAGAGCAATCTATTTATTAATTTAATTATCCCATTAATTGAAAATCAATAATGAACATGAAGAAAACCCAATGTTTTGAAAGATGCTTCCAGTCAATGAAGCTAGAACACTACTTTCGTTGCTCTGTAGCAGAGTTGCTCGTCCCATAGATGGGACAAAATCTGGGAGATGGCCAGAGACCCTGTGATATGGCAAGCAAGGTATGAAGGATTTCTTCCTTGTGGATGCCAGCTTCTGAAGCCTTAATACACGGTTTCTCTTCCATAATATTTCTCTCTCTGACTTCACGAAAGTGTCCTGCAACAAACACCGCACTGACTTCAGGGCTATAGCTCTGTCCTTCCATGTCTTTTAAACCATCAGACACTTCTCCCGATGTTGCATCTCTCAGCTGCAGCTTTGCATTGCCACCAGTTTTACAGCTGCAGTAGATTATATTGTGATTTTGCTTGCCTTGATATCTACTTGGAAAGAGCCTTTAGTGTGTGGGTGGGCTTATTCACCTACCTTGCCAATATCTGACTCCATGCTCATCTGCAGAAAACTTGGAGAAGACTCACACCGGCGCTGTAAAATTATTTTCAAAAGAGAATGGACTTATTAATGACAAGAGACAAAAGAAAAGAAAGAGAAAAAGTCAATTCCCCATACTGCTGGGTTACCATAGTCAACGGATCCTGCAGGACTTGATCAATGACAGCACACAGCTCTTCTGTTTGTTGTCTAAGCTGGGCAGGGGAGCACATCTGAAAAAGAAGGATTGATCGCTCAGTTAACCTTTGCTTTTTGTTTTCAAATACAGATGTGAAAGGTAAATAACAGCACTACCTCTGAATGAGTGTCCAAGGCGGTGCCTTCACTCGCACTCGCAGGTTTCATTGGCTCTTCTAATGCCTGCAATTCAAGAGTAATTGGTGTGATACAGAGTTCAAAATTTTAAAAACCAAACAAACGTACACTTTTGTCAGCATTCTGTTTAAAAGGGTGGTACTTTCTATTTTAACATAAAAAGATGGGGAAAAAAAGAAATTATAGGCCTAGTAATGTTCTTCAGGTTACCAGCACATGATTCTGAATGAGAAGGGGGTTTACAGAGGAGAGTATTCAAGGAGGGTGAATTGTCTCTACTTTTAGAAATCAGAAACTACCAGTTTAAATTGTCTTCTTCAACAATGTCCCCTCCTTCCCAGTAAATGTGACAGTGTGAGTGTGTACTGTGTGCCACAGAGGTGTCAGGTGGCTGCCACCACAGGAGAGCCACCACATGGACAGGAATGCAGGCAGACAAGGCAGGGACCCAAGAATACAGGACCCTTTATTTTGCTCCAGTAGATGTTTTCTGTAAAAAGTGTCGCCTGTTCAAAGAGGATGGTGATTTCACCTTGCAACAAAAACAGTGCTTGACATTCTTGGGTTTTATCCAGAAATCAGAAATGTATAAAGAAAAATATGTTCTGTACATTTGTAATCTCGCACTAAGCAGCTATACAATATCTCCAGAACAAACACAAGCTTCTTGTGCTTGAAAATACCCATTGCTTTCCTGTACCCATACTTGAAACAGGTTTGAGAACAGCGGGAATCATTTTGCTGAACCCTTCACTTCATATGGAAACTCACAAAACACCCTCAAAAGCCAAAATCCACTGCTCAGTTCCCTTTTCATCTTCATCCAGCATCTGCAAAGCACATTCTCCCTGCCATCACCCATTTTTGCTTTGAAGTGATTTTCAAGTAGACACCTGCTGAGACCAAAAATTACTCTGGAAGCTTGCTGATGTGTGAAGCTGGACTACAGGGAAGGGAAGCACAGGGTTTGTGGATTTCTTTTGTTTGTTTGTTTAACACATTATGGTTTTGTGAGGTTTCATTTTGCTAGTTAGTAAAAAAAAAATAAAATCCCACAGATGTAGGATTCTGCAGGAATCTGTATGTGGAGCTGTGAGGAAAAATGTCAGAATCTTTGAGGACATATTTTTTTCTTTCCTTGTCCAGCTACTGGTAGCATACATCTGTGTATGCCTAAGTGAAAAGTTAGTGACAATTTACTTTTAATATTATTCTCATACCACCCACAAATGTTCTTGCACAGAAGCACACTTATAGAACACCATGTCTTCTACTACAACGAAGGGTTTTCTTCCTTCCTCTCCATCTCTAGACAAATGTGTTGGCCTTAGAGTAGTTGCAGTTCAAAAGGAAAAAAATAAAAGAATAATTCATTTTGATATACAGAAATTAATGTAATCTTATCCCAAGACAGGCCATGAAAAGATAGTCCCTCATCTCTGCTGTCTCATCACAGTTAGTCAGCTAAAGTTTCAGATCAACAGACAGTCCCCTTGAAGAGGATGGCTCAGCTAAGGTGGGCTCAGCACTGAAGTACTGTGTCCCTAGTTCAAGTTCAGTCAAGATTACATCCTCCTGGTAAATATGAAGTGATAAAATTAAGCAGAAGAGTCATTTCAGTACCTATTAGGGTCAGGATTGACAAAGCAGGCTGTTATAGAGAGATGATGAGTCTGAAGATGACTTAAGAAAAATGAAAAATTTTAATCAATCATGGGTTTGGAGTGGGGAAATTGCTAAGCTTCTCAAAACCCCCAAGAAGACAGTAGGACAATAGACATAATCAAGGAATTGTTAAGAGAAAACCATATGTTTCTGTTTCTGTTTCATAGTAGTTCACCAAAGTAGTAGGTGAACACAATCAAAGGTAAGAACCAACTACCCCTAAGATTCAGGGTAATCTTTCTAGAGGAATTACAGCCACATCCTAAAGTCTCTTTTCAAAACCAAGGCTCTGGCTAATTTAAGTAAATATCCATCAGTTTCAGTAAAAATTGGGTACCCAAATATCCTTCTATTTTGTAGCCTTCAATGACTGAAGAACTTGGGTGAGTAAAGCCCCAAGGTCCGTTTGCTCCACTGTCCCTCTGAGATACAACCATAATGCAGGAGCCATGCTAGAAAAAGCTACAGTGTTCTCTCTTTTAGGACCTTTGGGGAAGGAAAATTTTAACCCACAAACTGATCAGTCTAATTTCTTTCAGTGTTTTGTTTTTTGTGATTTGTTTCTTTGTTTTTGTTTGGTTGGTTTTTGTTTGGTTTGGGTTTTTTGTTTGGTTTTGGTTTTTTGTTGGGGTTTTTTGTGTGTGTGTGTTTGTTTGGTTTGGTTTGGTTTTTTCCCCTATTTTTCTTTTTTTCTTATTTGGACAGCTGAGTCCTCCAAAGAAAAAGGAGAAACAGGAAACTATTTTTGCCATCCCTATCACCTCTACAAAGATAAAAGTTTCTGTTTAAGCTGTTGTTGGCTTTTCAAAATACATCTCAAATTTTTTTTCCATCGTTGCCTTTTTTTTTTTCCCCACATTTTCCCATAGAGAAAATGTGAGATATGAAAATTACAACTAGTTTTTTCAAAATTATTGGTGTTATCATGCTACAATACTAAGATTAATTTAAAATGTTAGTGCTATCTACATGCTGTTGATTAACACTATCAACAGTATTCAGGATTCACTTGTTATGCTGATGATATAACAATATTAAAAGTTGAACATTCTTATTTAGGCATTCAAATTTTTGATTATACATGTAAAAATAGTGGGACCACAGTTTAAAAGAAGATTGCCATTTAGATAATGAAAATGCTTTTGTGACAGAATTTCAATGTTCAGATAAAATAAGGAGTTGCTGAAGCACTAATTTTTCCCTTGAAAAGGATAACTTTGGGGGTGTGACACATATATGCTATTGACATCAGTGATGACTACAACCCTTCCCTCCTCTTTCCTCTCTTTTGATTGCTAAAGCTGTATCAGAGCTGAAAGGATACTGGTAAATGATCCAAACACAATCTCCAGTATTTTTTTAGAAGAATGAAAGGTCTTGGCAACATATAGGAAATACAGAACATTATTTCATCCACCAGTGGACCACATCAATAGTAGGAGAAAAAGTGAATACTGTGACCTGGATCTAACACAGCTTTCTTCTTACTGTATCATGAAAACCCTGGACTGAGCATATTTTCCCCATCACTGTCTTTTCCTGAGCTCTCAGCACATGCAAAAAAAAAAAAATCCCATTGTATAATGGAACTTCACAAAGCATTAATTCCTTTAACTTACTTCTTGAAGATCCTGGGAAGTGATACTGAACAGACTTGACTATTTTTCCTCTTATAAAATAATTAATACTGAAAGCTGCAAGGCTCATGAAGGAAAGAGGGAGCTCATAGGCTGCTCCTATCTTGGCACATTTGGTTATTATTACAGATGAACTACGTCTTTTACTTAGTCCTAAAAATGTACAAATTATTGGCTTTCTTTCTTACCATGAGGTATTTTTCTCTAGCCTTGAGGAGAATTTTGATGTGAACACAACCTGGGTGCAAGAAATGCACCTAGTAAGTGCACACCAGAAGTACTTCAGGAAAATTAAAATCTATTTTTATCAAAATATTCTTAACAAAGTCTTGTCAGAAATGCTTTCCAGGTCCAGAAACATGCTGACATGTTTGATAATAGCAATTTTCCAGCAGTTAGGTCAATCACCTAGAGAAAAGTCTGCTTCCAGGTTCCTGCAGTATGATTTCAAGGAGTGACTTGAATCTGCATTTCCATGATCAATTCCTATATGGATTTTTCCAATGGATTTTTGACAATACAATAAGTAAGTGTTTCCTCAAAGCACAAACTTATAGCTGTGTCTTCTATGTGGAAGTTGCATGTCTTTCTTTTTATTAAAAACAAAACAAAAAAATCCTCCAACACACCCTCCTTTTCCTTCTACATGAGGAGGAAGATGCCTTTTTTTTTTCTTCCACAAGGAGAATATCCTGCACTGCTTACAGTCTGCTCTGTAGGTGATAGGATGTAATTACTAAATCTTTGGAGTTTTCCTAGAAGTGTATAAGAATATGGAAAGACTGGTTTAGACTCTGTTGAAGTTAACTAGGTTGCATTATGACAAGAGAAGACATGAAGAACAGCCTTAAAGAGACACAATCAAACACCTAAAATATTTATTCTTTAAGACGGAAGATATTTTTTTCTACATTTATTTAGAATTGAAATTATTGTTCTCTACTTTTAACTAGTTAATAAATACAAGCCAGAAAAGTCAACACTTGCACCTCTTACATTCATAGCCAGTTATACCTAGTGTTTTTCAGAAGACTTGGTAAGCGTGGGATAAACCTTAACTGTGAAGCAGGTGTGCTTCATGGCACGTCCCATGATCCTGGGATGTGACATGTATGCCATACTTCATTCCTGGTCCAGACTGTGGGAAGTCTGAGCAGAATATCTGCAGCACCTCTTTCATCCCAGTCTGTATGTCCAGGTTTCTTTCCCATCAAAATGGGATAAGGGAAGTTAACCCCAACAGCATATAGAGGGATGTGCAGCTGATCAAATACAGCAAACCCAAATTGCCCTGCATATACCTTGCTGTAGATCAAAGACCACAGAACTGTTAAGAGAAGACTTTTTGTTTTGTAAATCCAAGGCCTCCAACAGTTTTCCAGCTCCATCTCAAACTTTATATAATTCTGAAGATGAAGTAAGATCTATTTTGAGAGACTCTCTACTTTCAAGGCCCTTGAAAGAAAGAGGGAGCTCATAGGCTGCTCTTATATTGGCATATTTGATTATTTTTACAGATGAACTAGGTCCTTTATCACTCTACAACTGCTTAAATTATTGCCTTTCTTTCCACCATGAGGTATTTAAAGTTAAAAATTTTTCCTTAACTCCTTGAAATAAACCCTTCATCCCTATCTATTTTGACTGAGTGATATTGTAATAGATTTTTGATAAATACAATCTCTAAATAATAGACCCATCACTTTTTTAAATAATGCCAGATTAGGAATGGAATTTTGAATTAGGCTGTGATCACATCTATATAATTGTAGAAGCTACATAAGAGTGAGTGTCAGTAGAGGAGTGAATCACTGTCTCAACATTAATAAGACTAGAAGGAGCAACACTGTTCACGTAGTCTGTCCTCTTTTTTAAACCACAGGACTATCTGGAATGAAGGGTCCAAAAAGCGTCCTGCCTTGATTTTTCAATTTCTCTGAAAAAGAGGCTATTTCAGTCTCTGGAATTTTTTTCTAATGGTTAATTAATTCTTTCTGTTCATTTTTTGCCTTATGCCTATATTAAACTTGTTCAGCTTCCTCATCTGGCCAGTGGGTCTATAATCTGCTAGGCTGGTGAGTTCATTACCACAGTCTATGACCTGCCTCATCACTGTGAATTTGTGTGGCTACAATGGTACTGCTGACTGACCCTGCTTAACATCAACTTGATATCAGCATCTCTGTTCTTGCTCAGGCACTGTGGAGCTGTGCCCTTGCTGGTGAGGACACTGCCTTGCTATCCTTGCTACCACCCCAGCTCCTGACTCACCTTCCCTCTGGAGCAACCCACTCTTGCTGATCCCTGACAGAGCCTGACCATGGTGAGGATAAGTCCCTTAAAAAACAAGTTTTGGTCTTCTGGCTGTGAAGAAAGTTACAGCCCAATCCTCCAAGAGATATCTTGTGCAGGGCTTTTTCTGAGCAGAGCACAGGTGATGTGAGGAGCATCAGGTTCACACTAATCCAAACAGCTGGGAAGTATGCCAGTTAGGAGATTTGATGAGATTAAGCCACTTCTGGGTTAGTTAAAGTATACATATATATAGTTAATCAGCCTTTTCTTCTCTACTAATTAGCACAACTCTGAGTAAGAACACTGGAGGATAAGAAGAACATGTTCTAGAAAAACCATTAAGATTATGATAGCCTAAGGGTTTCATAGGAAGAAGTTGAAAAATGCTGACTGAAATTAAAGCATCTACACAAACATAAAAGAAAATAACTGACTTGAGAAACAAAATTAGACATGAGACAATTCAGAGGCAGACAAATCATTGTACTTTACATGGTACACCAATGGCAGTTTTCTGTCATGGGATCTAATTAATACTGCAGATGAATTGTCACTATCACCCACATCACAATTCTGACTAATCTTATTTCTCATGACCACTTAATTAAAGGATTATAGTTACTCACACAGTGGAAAAAGTTGACTTCTGACAATATGCATTTTTACTTCAATCAAACTGTTTTAGCACCTTAGGCTAAAAAATGTAGTCTAAAAAATATTGTATTGCTAATCATGCATTCAGCTGAGCAATACCTATGCTTTCAGATACCCCATGCCTTCCTTGCTAAAAAAAAAAAAAAAAAAGAAAAAAAAGGAAGCCATTTGGAAAACTTCTACACATAACCATTATTTTAATGTTAATAAGCATCACTCATGCATTTAAAAATTTGTGGTCTTAAATATCTCTTTTTTTAATCCAGTGCATAAAATGCTTTGCATAAAATGGGAACGTAATTACTGTCATTGAGTTACAATGTAGCATGAGTTCCCTACACAATATTTTTGAGGAGAATACTTGGATATTAAGGCTTGGTACAATGGGGCCTGTGTGTGCCATGTGACTAGTTCATGCTTTCCTGTAAGAGCCATACTCTAAACGTGTCAGCTAACACAACAGGACTAGCTTAGGAGTACTACAATTAGATGCTGGTACAGATCAATAGGAGATTATTATCCCTAATTCCCAAGTCAGACCACGCTGAAACATACAGTTTACAGAATTAATTAGTCAAGAGCCACTCCTGAAGGCAAATCCTGTAGCAGGGAACTGATTTTTTCTTAGTACACGACTGCTTTTATTACTGAAGGACACACCAAGGCTAGCATTCAACAAAGCAGTGGATAATCAAAAGTCTATCTAACCACAGATGTCTTTTGTGTTTTTACTTTTTCTACAGCATTACATTGCACAATTCAGTTTATGTATTGGGGATAACTAACACGTAGGTTGTGATTCAGTGCCCTGGAGAGCACCAGCAAAACCATCAAAAGAAATCAATTTTCTTCTGGAAAAGTGCAATCAAATGGCTGACATTAACCCACTAGTTCACATTAGGAGTGTGCTCTTAGAGTGAATAATCTGCTCAGAGTTCCCTACTTGGCTTGGCTTGCAGAAAGGTGCAGTCTCAGGGTGCCCCAACTAGATGCTTTCAGGTGAAGTCAACCATGAAGTGGCACTTTCGGCGTTCACCAAATTCATCCACCCACTAACAGGCTCTCTGCCCAAACAAAACCCTCCCAAAAAACATTCTGTAGGAGTGTGGGATCTCCTGGATTATCTATTTTCCTCTACAGAGCCATTTTTATTTCACCACATTGCATGCTAAAGCAAAAATAACCTTCATTAGTGCATTCAAAATTTAAGTAAATGAAGGATCAGGTTTTATGCAAATGATTTTAAAAATAATTCAAGATTAAAATAACATTGGAAAATAAAGGAATGTCTCTTTATTTTGAAAAAAAAATCTTACTTATAGCAGTTCACTGTTAATTACTAGATCACAATCGGTAATATTTCAAGGATAAAACTATCATCTTCAAAATTTGTACACAGTTAAGTTCACCCTCTCCAATGTCTTTAGGCCCTGCAAACTTCTAGTGAAATAGCTGAGTTGTGTATTGGAATAAATATTTAGATGTGTAGTTAGGAATGGTTAATCTCAAAGAGATTTGTCAGAGGTTCCTGAACTATGTTCTGAACAGAAAGGTTTTTCTGATAAAGCTACAAACTGGATATCAGCACAATTAAGGATGTCTTTAAACATGTTAAACAAGTAGGTCATTGCTCATCAGAGAAAATATTTGCTAAACTTCGTGAGCAATTATTTTGAGCAAAACTAATTTGGGAAAAATATTTTAAAAATAAACATCAGTGGGTATTTTGAACCCTTCATGCAAAATTTAAATTTAAACTCTCTTTCAAAGTCGCATTATCTAAATAAGGACTATACAGCCCAACCTTTGTTGGCTGTGACTTTAGTAGTAAATCAATGCATTAAAGTCTGTTCTTTGGATCTACCTGCCTATCCTACAGAAAAGGACTGTCATCTAAAACGACATAGCCTGGCCCATGCTAGCTGTTAAAGTGTTCAGGAGGAATGGTAGTTAACAGGTCAGAACAATGGCCAGGACAGTTATCAAAGTTTAACAATGCAGCTGGTCAAAACTGCATATCTTGGAATGTTAAATTTACTGGTATAAGCAAAGATGTTGAATAATCATTAACTGATCAAGATCTACTCATTGTCAGTCCCCAGAACAGCAGTGCTCCAGTTACTTTCCAATAACAAAATAGACTTTGAGATGTTGCCATTAAAGGTAATTCTTTCAGGATACTGCTTTTTTCCCCCTTTTACTGTAAATTGATTTGCAGAAATTCAGATTAGCGAAGTCTTTGATCTTCAGTGGAAAGTGGCTGACCCTGAGCAATGTCCAGAACAATAAACCTGAGCAGTTAGTTCCCAGAATTTACATTCTGCAGTATCTCCCAACAGAAATGTCAGAATGTGTACATAAAGTTGAATGGTCTCAAATACACAATGCAATGCCCATGTCTTTGAGTAAACACTGACCTTCTGTTCCATAAGCAATGTGTTTGTAGGGATTGCTGCAAATGCCTTGTAGCTTGTCTTGATCTTGTACTGCTAAAAGGGTAAACCAGAAAGCAGGAAGAGAAGTAAAACAGGATAGAAGAGTAAGAGAGAAAGAGAGGAAAGGTATGACAGAATGAAAGACCATTCCAATTGTCTTGCAAACACATTGCAACAAAATAATGCTTACATATTTCCTAGGAAAGCTATTTCTTAAAGAAAATCTAGTGGTTTTGTTAAGATTTTAAAAGCCTGTAAAGTACAGATATTGCTCTGAGGAATGAAGTAGGAAAGCTTATAGCTTCCAAAGGAAGTTTAACCACTTCCTGCTGATTACTATCCTTAAATGAATATCAGGAGAGGCTGTGAGGTTTTTTCAAAGTTTTTTTTATGATTTGATATGAAAATGTACAGCTACTTCTGCCAGCACATCCACCTCAACAACTGCTGCTGAGTGCTGTGATCCTGGACCACTAGATCAGAGGGATTTCTGTAATTGGCTTTAACGAGATGGATTAGGATCCTTAAATGCTGAATTACTTTTGTGAGTGGATAGATCATTTAAATCTTCATGCAGCTTTTCATCTCCTGAATAAGTAACTCTACTACCCAAACAAATGATTCAAATTAAGTATAGAAACTTAGACACTCCACCAAAGCTTATAGAACTGACAATCAAAACCATACAAAATGTATAGGTTCGGGTACAAAAATTCTAAGATCAGCCTTAAAAATTATTCTTTTCAAACAATTTCTATTTTAGACTATATTAGCTTTCCCAGTTATTTTAAACTCTTTAGAAACCATATTTTTTACATTTTCTTTGTAATTATAGAGGTTGAATTCAGTAGGTTTTTTTAAAGATTGATGAAATTCTTCTATACTTGTATGAGAGAGGATTCTTAATCACATGACTGCTGTAATTTATTTTAAAAAATAGGGATTTGCTACATTGTTCCCTTTAGCTAACAATCTAATAAAAAATCAAAAATTCACACAAAAATATACTTTCAAGTTAGTAATTATTGATTTCTGTGATAGTCAGCCAGAAATAAACTTATTTGTTAATCAGGTCAGGTTTTTTAATGTACCATCACTTGCAATAGTAACTACTGGTTGACTATGAGATAACAATCTGGATCAGCATGTTGAACTTTGGGGCATTCTTTTGTTATTCTTTTCTTCATAACTAGTAAAAGCCTCAATGACAGCAGACGGGGCAAAATTTTATCTCAGATAAGAAACTTATATCATCCTCACATCTGTCTTGAATTATGGTAGGACACAACCTTTAATTCCTTCTACACATAATATCATATTTGCTTTTGACTTCACTCAGTCAGAAGCTGGAGAATGGCAGTCATTTAAGAAGTCAATAATTACAGCATTCATATTGAATGAACATGTTGGAGAAGAATGCAAATGCTGAAAATTAAGGGTTTTTTCTATTTTTTGGTGGGAGGGGCATTGGAGGACAAGATAGTAGTTTATATGAGATTTAGTGATTCTAACTTGGATGTCCACCATTTAGGTGCCTCAGTCAAAAACTAATGCCTTTTATAATTACAGGCATTTCTACAGGATTAATCTCATCCCAAAACACGCAACTAGAAAGGTAAAGTAAAATCATACTGTAAATACTCCATATTCTCTCCATTAAGTGTAATAGAATTGCCCAAGTAGTGCTTGGATATCTAACTTTCAAATGCCAAAAGCTGCATGAGTTTAATCCTGCCCTTTGAACATTTAGACAGCAACACTGCATATGTGTGCATAAACACACATACAGATATTTGTGCATATATAAAATCTATATACAGATGAGACATAAGATACTGCTCACTAACGTAAGATGGAAGACCAAAATTCCAAATATTAATTTAGGTATATTCATAAAATGCATCCTTGTTTGATTATAATAGAAATTCAACAAAGCAAATTGCGTAATTGAACATGTAAATGAAATGCAGTGTCTTCACCAGCCCATAGGCTTTTACATCTGATGAGATGGGCGTCCTATAGGATAAGAACACTATGATCATTTTGAAGTTATTTGTACTGTTATATGAACAAACAATGACATACCAGACTGTTAAAATGTAAAATTTTCTATACTGCTTTCATGTGCTTTATCACTTCCAGTTACTGTCTGTAGAACCTGGATTGGGCCATTTTCGCAATGTCTGAGATGAATGAAAAGTCTTTAACTCAGTTTCTGATCTATATGAACATGTTCCTTTACATATTATTTCACACTACCTAAAATTATTTTTCAATGCCTAAATGCATTTAATAATCTGCTTCACAGGAATCTAGCAGTAATTTTAAACAGCCATCGACAGTTAGGTCTGCTGACCTGCATCATGGTCCAGTCAAAACCAAACCAACTCAAATATCAGAGCTTGGGCAAATATCACCCTGGGGAGGTTGGGGGAAAATGTCCTACTTTTTTGTTCAGATGTCCACCTAAGACACCCACAGGGCATTGCAAAGTGTGCTGGACACATGCCTATAGGGGCTTAAAATCAGTGACTAACCATGGTAGCATAGTGTCGTGAGTAACCTTTCCTGCTTTGTGGTAGGCTTTGCAGCTGTGCTGGAGCTCCATGTTACTAAAGTTAGTTTGTTCTCAAGCTGTTTTGGGTAGATCTACATGCATTCCTGTGCTGCATTCAAACAGGAAAAAATAAAAGAATAATCAAAAAATGATGCCCCATGAAATCATTGCAAAGAGTTTTCAAATATCCACCAGAGATTGTTATTCTAATCTGTTCCCCCCAAATCAGAAATTTATCTATCCCTACTCCATCTTACTGTCCATTTTGCTATATTAGCTCCATGATGACATTATCAAAGTGTAATATTCGTATTTTAAAATCATTAGCAAATATAAACCATGGGAAAGTATATGTTCATATATACAAATACAAACAGTTAAACAAATTCATAGGTTATCTTTGATTCACATTAATTGCTGCATGCACAGGCATAGACAAAAAAAGCTCTCCAATAAAGAATCCTTTTTGCATAATTGCTTTGATATCATGCTAATGAAACAGTTTAATGTGAATATTGAAAAGTACACCTAATGTCAGAATTCTGGTTTAAGTGTTGTTTTAATACCTGTCTTAACATTGCTTCAACGACTTTTGAAGAAACATTAAGGTTGGAAGATTACACATGTCAAAGTCAAGTGCTTCTAGAAGCTGTTTTTCTCTTAATGTTCACTTAGCACATTTATACATGCAAAAATTTTGTCATGCATTAACAGTCATCACATGGAGCAACCTGCTTTTTGTCTAATTCTAAAGCTGAGCTGATTAGTACTAAAGACATCTAAATGCTACTTAGAATGTTAAAGTTGTCTCTCCTCAAAATTTTCCTTTTTTCTCTGGAAATATACTGAGATTTGAGGCCGGAGTATTATCAGACATATCAGCAAAATTCATTGAGTTATGCCATAAACTAGGGATGGAAATAAGTGAGAGCAGAAGGAAAGGGGGGTGTTGAATGCACATATCATTAACTGTAGATGAACTCTCTGACTCACATTTTAAAGCCACAAGAGACCTTTCCTGCACTGACCACTCAGCTGCATTTAATTCAGAGATTTCATGTCTTCCACATCTCCAGCAGAGCCAGCTTTGTCTACATGATTAAAAATTACACCGACTAGTGGTCCAAGTCTGTTATACTGGCAAACACTCTCCCAGTTTCCATAGTGTGGTGAGACAGTTTTAAAACTGCCACCATATCGCATGATAAAGCAGAACTAGCAGGAAAAGGGACAACAGGGAAGTCACAAAGGGTAATAATAACCTCTGCAAATACAAACCCAGGCAATAGCTCTGTGTCACTAGCAGAGAATTTCCTTGCTGCCAGAGAATCTCACAGTGCTCATTGCACCAACTTGCATGAAGAGCAACTGTTTTGCAATCTGCAGGCTCAGTCATGCCTTCCAGTTTTGTCTCAGGGGTTTGTCTTGGAATTTCAACAATTTCCTATCTCTTTTTGTTTTGCTAAGTAATACTGACAGAGTGTAGCGACACTGTACAGCTGTGCTTGGCACAATGTGTCATTTGGGGTTGCTTGGTTTTTAAAAGAACCAGTCATGACAATTGCTACTTTGTGCTGATCTTAACCTCTCATTTCCAATTAAAGTTTTCCAAGCAGTTCAAATCACCCCTGCCATAGCCAAGCTGTTAAGAACACATCTGACACAACTTGATCTGGCAGACCAGGCTATAATTTTGTGCTGTGAGCAAATAAATCAATAAACTATGATAGACTTTCTATGATGTGCAAGCTCAAATATGAGTTACAAGGAGGCACAAGGGAAGCACAGAGTACAAAGGTAAGAAAAGAGGTCAGAAAGCCTTCTGCAACTCTGATGCCTTCTGCAACTAGCTCTTCCTTTCTATATAGCAATTTCTCTTGTTTTCACATACCTGCTGCATGTTTTTGGATCAACTTTCCTTTCCTCCCCCTTCTCGAGATATACCTTTAGATTTAAAGTGTGACTGGTTCCCAATCCCTCCTGCAGCAACTGCCACCATTGCTTATTCTCACTCTGTGGTGGCTCTTCTGCCTTTGGGTGGATGACAAACAGCAGGAGCCGTTTGTGAGACTTTTGTATTTGCAGTAGCTCATGTTTTAGGAAGCTTGGCTTTTTTTTCCCCCTCATCCTCTGTCTAGTACAAGGAGATCAGAAAAGTAACAAGGATCAGAGGAGTATAGAAGAAAGGAAAGAAGTAGGAGACTGTCTTTGTCTTCCTTTGCTGGCTCTTAACCCCAAAGTCCCTGCTCAGGCTGAGCTCCGTTGTACGTTTGAGCTGGTCACAGGGCAGCTGGGGTGAGTAAAGCATCCTGGGAAGTGAGGAGGACAGATGGGACGAGGTGCTTGTGAACTAGTTATCAGAGGAACAGCCAGTTCACATCAATTACATTAACCTGCTTCTAGTTCAACTTTGAACCTAAGATCACCATATTTCTATTACTTTCAGTGGGAACACATGTGGGTTGTCATTAGCATGGGGTGAATAGAACATGTTTCATAGCTTATTTTTGACACACCAGGGTTTTAAGCTAGCTACAAAAATAAGTGTGCCAAATGTATATCAGACCCACTGGACACAAGTCTATCTTTCATAGTATCTCCTCCCACTCATGAATAAAGTATTCTCTTTTTTATGATAAAGGATTCCTACAGCATCTTCTCCACAATACAGAATACATTGCTAGCAATTTGATAAGGTAGCATTCAATCTTCACTGTCTTCACCACCAACAAAAAACCTGTTCCTTTTCTACATTTTCCATACCCATTTATTTTACTAGCATTCTGCAACACGGATGTGATTTTTTCCTACAGGGACAAAGAACTATTAGAAAATAAGCATGCACCAAGTGTACCTTGGGTTTGGTGTTGTCATGGTCAGGAGGCAGGGAAAAAGGCTGTGGTGAAGTCAGCTCTCTGAGTCTTGATGGCAGTATACCTGGTGACTTGTCTGAGATGGGAGATCTGCACTTTAGCACCGGTGAGGTGGCAGATTGTTCAGGTCTTGGAGAGGAGGAATTAGACCTATAACTTGTGTGCGCCAATGAATAATTAAACTGCAGTGGGTGGGAATTAATATTACCAGTTTGTGGAACTGGTGGGGTAGAGTGAGGCTGTGGGAGAGACCACCTCTTTGAGACACTTGGAGGGGTAGGAGAGGAGACACTCATATCCTGAACAGACATTCGGGATGAATCTGACTTAGATCTAGAAGCTGAGGGCAAAAGACCTGTGGTAGGAGATGAGTGTTTTTCTAGGGTGGGGGAGAATACACCACTAAGATTGGTGGAAGAAAGCAAAGGATATGACCGGCAGGTAAAGATGGGTGAGTAAGTGTGTACTCTCTGAGACTTTTGAGGCGCCCGGGATCTGGAGGCAGCAGACCGCAGCCCTTCTGGAGAAAGAGCTAAGGAAGAGGGAGCTGGGGCACAAGGAGGAGGCAGCGTAGACTGCAAATCTGGAGAGGCAACTGATCTTCTATGATAGGAGATGAAGGATGACTGAGAACTTTGGGAGTCTGGAGAAAGTGTTCGAACTGGAAGATGCTTTTTAGGAGAAAGGGACCTTGCTCGAGGGGTGGGATGAGGCTTGGAGGAAAAAGGCAGATGCTGAGCCCATCCTGAAAGCCAGTAATCCTCTCTGCTGGGAGAATCTGGCTGTATAGGAAGGCTTGAAACAGATTTCTTGGGGGTTGGGGGAGTTGTTTTGGACTTTTGATCTATTGTAAGTGTTGAGGAACCAAGGGAGCTACGAGAAAATGTGGGACAGGAAGCAGGAGAAAGCGGTCTCCGCTGAGAGGAGCCTGATCTCAAAATAGCAGTTAAGAGAGTCAGTCTGGTTGGCAGAGGGGATTTGATTCCTGACTTTTCTAAATTTCCTCTAGATGACATTTGTGTGCAAGGTTCATTTATACTACATATGGTTGAAGAGGAGCCATAAAGAGAGGGTGGAGACAAAGGTTTAGGAGTAGGAGATAATGAATGTGTTGTTATATGTACAGGGAGAGGAGACAAAGCATTCAATCTTTTGGAAGAACTGGGGGATGAAGGCTGAGCTGAGGATCCTTGAATTTCAGCTGAACATGAAGGACTGGGGGAAAAACTTGGGCTCTTTGTTGGAACAGAGGATGTGGTGAAGTCTCCCATTTTGCAAACACAGCCAGGAGTATAGAGACTTGGTGTTTCTAGGTTACCAGACAATTGAGGAGTAGAGTACCAACTCTTTGATGCAGCAGAGGATATTTTAGACATGGAGGGATGTGAACTATGGGAAGCAGACTGAAAGTAGAGAGATGAGTCTTGCTTAGAAAACCCAGTTGCTGACTGCCAGTTTTTACAGGAATCTTCCAGCGAAGAGGCTTGAGTCATGTTAACCATGGCACCACACGCTACTTTCTGATTAACTGGAGAAATTAAGTGGACAGCAGGTGGTTTAGAGGAAAGATGATCAGAGGTGGAAAGAGTAGAAATTAACTGGAGAAAAAAGAAAAACAGAAATGTTAATATAGGTGGAATCTGTGGAACTGTTAAATACCCACATTTCAGTCCTGCGGTCATGCATATAGGCTTTCCATTAGTACTGTTGTGTGGATTAAAAGCACAGGGCTATCTTAAATTTGGACATATAGCCTGATGGATAAGGCTCTCTAGAGGAGGTGACTGAGGCAGACAAGTTATGTGCTACTTTGGTTTTATGAGACCTCAGTTTTGTTGACATAAGCAAGGTTAAAGGCTACAGTATATTTCATTTTAGGTAAAACCCAATAGAGTTGTGCCATGAGTGTCCAGAATCACATGATGCCATTCCACTGTATAAATACAACAGAAAGTGAGAAAATTGCAATAGTGTCCCATCTCACTTCACCAGTTCAGTGGAAAGCAGCCTTTCTGAAAATGGCATTCAAGTAAATTGCTTATTTTCTAATTCAGTAAACAACCCCTTCTGCAGCACTGTGATATCAGAATGAGAAATTTGTTCCAAACTACTTAAATCAGACATCCAGTTTGGTTTTCACTTTTCCTGTCATTCACAGAGCAGTGCATTTGACAGTTTGCAGCCATGTAATAGTCCTTATCCCCTTCTCCACAGTCTTTCGATACACTAATAAAGCAGTAACAAGTTCTTTCATGTGCCTTTTTTCTTGAGTCTATTCTAATTAGGATTTGTCAAAACTAATTAGAGCATACAAGTATATTATCAACCCTTTATACAGTTTCATGCTTCTAAAGAAAGAAACTCTCTTAAAATCTTCCAAGTTATTATAATGCTGAAATTAAAAACTGATGTATACAAAATATGAATAAAATATATCAGTATGAAATAGTGAGTTAAGTCCACTGTAAAACCAAAAGGCTACAAACTGTCACCTAACATTTGACAGAGCAATTTGAAAGTAGGGAAATTGGTTCTAATTTCATCAAATTTGATATAAATATAAGAACTACTGTTTGATACCCTAAGAAGATTATGCAGCTCTCCAAAAGACAATTATATAGTTCAGTTTCCACACACAACTTGCCCATGGCTGCAGCTCAGCCATGAATTATATTTTTTAATACAAATGTCTCACCCATAATAGAAAGGAATTACTATTATTGTTAATGTTATTATGCAATATAGTATTGATTTATCACAAAATGAAAAATAAGAACTAATCAAATAATTTTCAGGTGAGAGCACATACCAGAAGAAGCTGCAATAAAAACAACACACACACACACAAAAACCAAAAACAAAACAAACAAACAAACAAAAACCAAAAAACCCCAAACCAACCAAACAAACAAAAAACCAACCAAACAAACAAACAAAAAACCAACCAAATAAACAACAAACCAAAAACAACCAAGACTTAGAGGCTTCCAAGGGCTAAACTACACCTAAACCACTAAATATGTGTAAACACCACTTCAAAACCTTATTAGTGCTTATAACTTAAAATGAGTCAGCTCCTTCTGCTAAATGAGACCATATAAATAGCAAGCCTTGTAAACCAAGGACACTTTCTGTATAAGGTAACTTCAGAAATGCCAAGTCAGTGCTTTGATTTATAGGAATAAACACAAAACATCAGAATGCCTTTACAATCCCACTGATTTCCCCTGTTGTCCCATTTCAAGGAAAGTCAAGGGATGTATACAGAGTGAATATTAGAATATAAACATTTATATCCATTACATCATTGCACCATATATTCCATTGGATTAAGAAATTATGACTCTTGCTGAAAAAGCTGCTAACTAAGAAGAAGCAAAAATACTGGAAATTGAGGATAATTTACTAATCCTTAAGCATTATGAAAGATTATTACTAAATATGTCATGAAACATAAAATTATTTAACAAATTAAAAAAGCAGTGTGGTAATAAATCTGATAATATGGAACAGCCTCCTGAATTTAATAATGATTTCTGGAAGTTGATCAACTATCAAAACAGAATTTGAGTATAAAATCTCTATATTTCAAAATAGAATAGATAAATTCCCCCTACACAGACAACAGATTAAAAGAAAATGGGCAGCAAATATGAAAGTTCATAATAAAAGAGGAGGATGTGAAATGACTTCCAAATAGTTAACACTTAATAACAAAGATTTATAAGCAGCTAGGAAAATGTTCATGGTAGCAGATGATAAACATGCTCCTGCAAGTGTAATGAAGACATTTTGCAGTAGTCTTCCAGTTTAAACAACACTGAACATTTACATGCTGAGCTAATTGAGCCATTAATCAAGTCTTCAGAAAAAAAATTTTCTATTGTAACACAGTATTAAACACATCTATAAAGGATCAACCTCTTATTTACATGACCAAGGAATCATAAATCCAAGTGGGTTGGAAGTGACTTCTAGAGGGCATTTAGTCCAGCCTCCCATCTCACCAGCACAAGTGGGTCACGGCAGCTGTGGCTGTGTCTCACCAAGCCTCTAAAGCCCTAATGGAGTTGGCTCCAGGCAACCTGTATCAGTGTTGCACAACCTCTCAGTGAGGAAGCTGCTTCTGATGTCCATCAGGAACCTCACGTTTTAATTTGCAGCCACTGCTGTCTCACCTGTCACTGCAGAGAAGAGTTTGGCTCTGTTTCCTCCATAACTGCCCTTCAGGTGGTGGGAGTACACAAAGCCAGCTCCCTCAGCCTCAGCTCACATGTGCACCACACACATTTACAGATTTGTGCTGGACCCTATTCCCTTCCTCACATCTCTCTTGAATTTGAGGGTTGCTGGCCATCAAGCTGAGTATTGTTTTACAGTTACAGCCTCACCAGTGCCAGTTGGTGAGATATAATAACTTCCCTCAATCACCAGAATTTTTTTCCCTTTGTTTTTCTGTTCAGTTTCTCTACTGGTTCAAAACCCTCCTCTATTGTATTGGATTAGTGCAGAGGAAGTCAGTGACCAAACTAGATTTGAGTTTCTTTGATCTGTGACTCAACTTCAAACCTTTTTGTCCTCTCAGTAACACCTCAGATATACATTTCCCAAAAATATATGAAGAAAGTTGAAATAGGTGCCAAGGTTACCATAGTTCAAAGGGACCAAGGCACTTGAAAAGGATCTTGATGCCCCATAAACAGTAATTCCAGAATTATCAAAGTGGTCATAGCATTAGTATTGAGCCTTGCCCAGGAGACCTTCAGCACATTTGAAATGGCAGAATTGAGCTTTCTGATTGTGTTTCTGGTGAGGTCACATTATTTTGGAAGGGTACAAAAGAAGTGGTTACTTATAGCAGCAAGACCCTGAAAGATGTGCAGGTCAAACAGGAAAAGGGAAAGAGTGAGGCAAACTGAGAGCCCCAAAGGCAAAAGGCATGTCTGAGTGAGGATATGGCTTTGATGTAGACCTGGTCCTGGGGTGAGTTAACCATGCTTTGATCTCAGTAGAATTTGATTATAGATAGGAAACAATAAAGGAAAATTACCTACAAAGCCTGCAATCTGAAAACCAGAAAGTCAGAACCAAGCACTGGACACTGTGGAAAACTTGACAAACTCTCTGGAGACAACACAGTAAAACAGACTGTGAACTGACAGCCAAATAAGACAGATGCCACTTGGAACAGTCCAGTTTCTCCCAACATGGAAGGTTAATAGTCCTGGTGATGGCAGGAGTTTGTAGGGACTCCTGACTTATTTTTCTGGAAAAACCAAGTCAGATGGCACTCACGGGACAGAGGAATGCCAAATGGCTTTTATAGCTAAAAATCCTACTGGTTATTGATCCCCCACAGTGCGTCAAGAAATTTCTCCTAGCTGGGCTTTTGTCCTGGCATTCAGGGGAGCAGACATCCTCCTCAACCCAAACAGTAAAATCCTAAGGGCAGAAGTCAGTCTGACTTTCTCTTACACAGCTAGACACTCTTTAACATAAAAAAGAAAAGGTAAGAAAACCCCAACACAATATATAAACAGTAAACTATCACTAAAAAGTTCCAAATATGACTAGAATAATGGATTCATTTTTCAGACTTTGAATATAGTGTGGCAGTTTCAAACATCAGTCAGAATATTTATGTCTCAAAGAACAACAGAAGCTTCCAATTTCGTCAACGTTTTTCTTTTTTTCCTTCAATTAAATGAGGTCAGAAATGAATGAAGCTGTGGGAGTCCTCTGGTTCAGTTACAGTGATCCTTCTGCAACACAGTGGTCCCCAAAACTGGTCCTTGCTTTTTTCACATCTGACAGGAAACTCATAGTCTAACCATGCTTTTAAATTAACATGATGTTATATGTAATAACTCTTAAGTGGGACATGATACTGCCCATATAATCCAATAACTGACAAGTTAGCCCATATATGGAATCCTCTGTAGAAAGGAAATGTACCAATTGAGAAACAATGCACCTATTTAATCTTTTCATATTTTTCCTACATTTCAGAACTAACGATACTTCATGAGATATCAAACCAGAAAAAGTGATGCCGAAGGAAACACCTTCGAATCAAAACAACAGTGAGAAGTAGTCTAGTAAAAACATCTTCCTCCTATAAAGCCATAGAGATGGCTAGAGATATTTAGATAATGAAGACTGAGGAAGTACTTACAGTCTTGAAAACTTGTGACTTAAGAACAACGATGAGATATGCAGCTACCCATATTACATACTACCTCTCTTCACATTCAGGTGAACAGTTAGCAATGTTAGGCTTCATTTCTTGTTCTGTGAAATTTGTATATTTTTTTACCTAACCAGCCAAATCCCTGTTTACTTGTCAAGTCATCAAGTAGAAGAAAGATACAGCATATGAATTTTTCTGTAGAGTGTTCCAAAATCCACCCAATTTCTGTGATAGCTTTTAAAGAAAACACTTAAGTAAGCCTGACAGAATCTGCAAACTGAACACTGCTGAAGTAAAACTGTATGTCCCTAGGACAAGTACTCTTTTACAGGCTGCTTCCTCTATGTATGCCTTTATACCTACCTCAGGTAAAATTCCCACTGATTTCACTGGGACTTTCTTAGAAGAAATTAATATTTCATAATGCTGTGAATCCCAAAACAGAGGGGATTTCTTAGTCACAATTTCCTCAATCAAAAATTGACACTGAATTTGATGAAAAAATGAGTGGAAAAACATTACAACACAAGATAGGAAATCTTATTCATTTGCATAAACAAAGTAGCCATGCTTAACTTTTGTTTTTAAATGATTGATGAAGAATTGCATTTTCAACTCATGGAAGCCATGTCGAGGTCAAAGGAAATGTCTGAATTTTTTCCATGTGAGAAGGATGTGGCTATTTTGCTAAAGGTGGAATTTTACAGTGTGTATACACCCCTGAATACTATTAGTGCTCTTTCCAAGATGGGAGATATTAACTTTTCACGTGGTAGATTGAATTGATGCATTTTGTTGGTGCAACATTTCAAAGACCCTTTCTTGAAATGTCCCAGGGAAAATTTAAAATTTAATAAATCATTAAATGCAACCTATAAATACCAACGTAAAATGGAACTTTTATCTTCATTAGGTCTTTACATCTGTGCAAAGTCAGTGTTAACTAACAATGAAAATAATAGGATTTTTTTACAACCTCTTTCTCTCGTAGAAAGGGCTGAAGGAAAAAAATCTAGGTCTAGGAAGTCTAATGCTAATAATTCAAATGATCTCAAGGTTCCATTGATTTCAATGACCTTAGCCAATTTAGACAAGCTAGGAATCTAACACCTTCTGATTAACTTGCTGTCATGATGAGCTGCTCTGAAAGGAAAGAATAGATCTTCATTACTGCTCCACACACACACCAGAATCATATGGAGAGGCAGCAAGTCAGAAGTGTTGGGTCAACTCCTTAAAGTCCAAGTGTTACAGAAGTGGTCAACAAAAATGTTAATTAAAGACTAAATTGACCAAGCTGCTTTACAAACAGGCTCAGTATCCACATCCTGAAAGCTTTAGAAAGTAAAGGTTATCTCAGAGTCTAGAGATTGGGTTACCTGATGTTTTTGTGGGTCAGTAGTACTGTGGGAAAGCGCAGCACCTGGAAGGTGCCCATCGCCAGGAGGCTTCCCTGCCCCGGTGCCAGAGGAGACATGGGATGGGGTCAGCAGCTGAGCACTGATGGGACCATAGCCATTGGAAGGTCGATGAGCATTGCTCGAGGCAGCAGCTACTTCATCTTCATCACCGGAGTCCGTAATCAGGATAAACTCAGCCTTAAAAAGGTCATTCTCCTGCATTTCTCCTTTGCTTGAATTACACCCCAGGGACTGGCAAGCCGTTGGGCTGTTGTCTGCACAGACAGTGGACGCACAGGCTTGTCTGGCCCCACTCTTTAAGGCCAACTCATGGGAGACTGTGTTAGACTGCAAAAGATACAAGGAGAAAGATCCCAATTAACTGTATTTTATTTGTGTTCCCCAAAATGTGAAGTAATTTAGGCTGTCAGGGTGGCTGGCTCTGTGCTACCGAAGGTGCAGAGGGCAAATAAAGAATTTGGGCATGAGAGCCCAGCAGAAACCACCACCCCAGGGAGCCCCCTGCTTCCAGCCCCCCAGCCCCTGCTGCAGGGGCTGCCTTCCCAGAGGCTCACGGAGCAACAGGGGACTCTGAGCACAGCAATGGCCCAGGCTGCCCAGGCTGCCCCGGGAACCGCGAAGGAGGGTGCAGTCAAGCTGAATGAGCTGTCAGACCAGACTACACCAGACACGATGGGAAGGCATCCCGACTACGGGATCCACGGGAGCAGACAATGCTCCTCAGAGGAGTCTGACAGACAAATCTGGGACAAAATCTATACATATTAATGAAGAAACAAAGGCCCTTAAGAGAGGGCATTCTCCGAAGGGAGCAGACAAAGACTCAGAGGTCAGAGAGCTTTACTGTTATGTTCAAGCTTCTCGGCACAGACCACAATTGTTCTTCGGATTTTCTGCAATTTCCACATCCAGTAAGTCACTTCTCAAGCATGCTTTGGACGAGAGAAGGAGTAGTGCAAACTGCACATACAACACGTACATCATCAAATCATTTGCTATTGAAACTATTGTAAATTATATTCCCCTTGGAGAAGGAACAAGGTAAATGAATAGACATGCTGTGTACTGCAAGAGAAAGCCTCCAGATGGGGCTCATATTTGAATACTGCTTGAGGAATACAGTAATTACATATTTCCACTTCACTTGCAGCTCCACAAGTCCCTGGAGCCCAGTTCTTTGAAAAAATATTGGACCTCAAAGAGGGATATCACCAGTATGAGTTTGACAGCGTTATTTTGATTATCTGATGTTGGTTAGTTTCTTAAAGTATTGTTCAGGTTCTAGACATTTTAGAAAAGGGGCTAATCTACACTATGAAGGCCTCAGTATTGCATCAACTGCCAGAAAAGTACTCTCTGCTAACTGAGAAACACAGGGGGATGGATGACAGGAAGAGCTAATTCTGCTTTACCCAGGGCATTACGTGCAGAAAAACCAATACAGAGTGGCTGAAAATGTAACTAATGAGTTAAACATCCTGAGGATAATATTCCAGTGAGTGTCTCTTCAAATACATCCATCCTTTGCCCAGACCTAACCCCTTTTTAGACAGATAGGACACTAAAGATCCTGGAGCATGTTCAGGTCAGAGAGATCTGAACTCCTGTGAAAAGTTTATCACATGGAAGAGCACCTAGGACTGTAGCCCAAGCAATGTCCCAGGAAAGGAGCTGTTACTCAAGGGCAAAATTGCTCTAAGAGTTAATATTAACCTGAAGGTTGCAGTAGCCTTTCAAGCAGCATGGAATAAAATTAGAGGCCATTAAGTGTTGTGAGGCAGGAAAGGAATAACAAACACTGTGGATTGACTAAAGGAAGGAGAACAAGGAATGTTGTGCTGCTGGCTTCACCATTGCAGGAAATCACAGGGACAAGCTTTCTAAGATAAAAAGGTCACTTTCACTTTGATGCATTACAGTGCAGCTATGAAAGGGATTGGCACCTCTGCTGGAAGCCACAGCACTGGCACTTGCTGAAACCAGGAACCAGTGAGCAACTCTTGGTCAGTTCCTGTGTAACAACACCCTTCTCACACCACCCTTGATGCCTTGAAGATCAGGAAGGAATTCCCCCTTCTCTGCCAAGAATATAGTCTTGCATGACTGACAGAGGACAGTATCGAGATGGGCAATTCCTTCCAATATAAACTCTGCCAAAGGCAAAACTAGCTATTGAGCAGACATCGGCCTTCTCTTGCACAATGACTCTACATCTTGGTAATTAAAACAAAGCATAAGCCAAGAAACCATTCAAGGGAAAGAGCTTCAGTTCAGTGATGCTTAAAATAATTTTTTTCTGTATCTTTTGAAAGAGTGGAAAAATTAATGCAAACAAAAATCTACCTTATTTAAAACTTCTTGCTTGCTCAGATCTGTTGGTTCCTCTGGAATTGTCACAAGGAACTTAGAGATATCCACAACCTCAAAATGAGTTGGAAGTCGTCCAATGGATGGCACAAATGTGAAGGTCAATGGCTTGGTTCCAGATTCTTGAGAAATGACCTACAAAACACATAATTAGTTCAACCACTTTATCCCAATAAAGATGATTTTTGTCAGAACTGAAATAACATGAATCACATGAAATTAATTAAACTATGAAACTTACAAGCTTATTATTAACTATATTGGTCATTGTTTGGTTTTGGTGGGGGTTTTTTATCAGATTTATTGTTTATTAAAGTCTTCTTTAACAGACAAAATACTGCCTTGATTATACCCATCAAAATCCTATATATTCTAGTGGTGTGGCACAGCAGACAGGAGAACATTTGCTCAATAATTTGTTATTCTTTCAATTTTCCATTAAAAAATCAGAAAACCATACTCAATTCATTTCAATGTTGCTTTTATCTTTATTTAACTCCACTTCAGTAGAACAACAATTTAATTACACAGTGTATCTGGGCAGATTATAGGCTCTAGTGTATTTGCTTTACAACTTAAAGCAAATTGGGAAAACCTTTGCTCTGCAAAAAGAAAGCAAAACATGTTCACATTTTCTAATGCAAATGCAATTAATTCTGAAAAATACCTGGGGATGAATTCTGATTCAAGTATCTTCTCCCATTTTCTATGGGCCATTCAGCCACACATACCAACTAACTTTGTGTCTGGCTGCTTATTCCTCCCTCCCCCTCTTGCCTTCTCTCTAGGTCTGAGTATGTAGGGCCTGAAAGCACCAAAGACAAGAGAGACTAAGAGAGGACAATTTCACCTAAATGTTCAGCTTTATCACAGTGCTCTCTCATCCCTCCCATCTTCTTCACAGGAGATACAAGCCATGGAAACAAAGTCCACATCATGTTACAACTCTCAGTTGCTTTGCCAGATATAAAAAAGAGGAACTGCAAATGCCTCATCAAGGTAAAAGGAGGGAAGAATATCCCAAACCATTGAACCTGACATGCTGACTTTCCCATTACTTGTTGTACAAAATCCTTCTTTCTGATTCAAAACTATGGAATATATTGATTTTCCTTTGCTTTATCATCTGATTTAAAAGTTATGGCAGTTAATTGTCTTTTCAATAAACTTCAATATGCAGAGGCTCAAATTGTATTGAATGATGCAGAAATGCAGGATTACTGCTTTGGTCTTTTTTTTTTTTTTTTTTTTGCTTGCTTATTTAAAGTGAAATAAATTGGAGAGCTACAACTCTCATGCTTCTTAGTCCTTGCTCCCGCCGAAAGTCAGAGTAACATCAGTACTTGAGGGTGTGCTCACTAGCGATCAGCTGCCAGTCCCTGCAACGCAGCACGGGATGTGAGCACCTGCTGTACCTAAGGGTGCCTTCAAAAAGCAGGATTACCTGCACACAGGCAGAAGCACCCATCACATTAGCATTAGTGATTTCTGTACAGCTGATCTGATTCACACTCTTACACAGTACCTGGGTCTACACTAAAATCAACCAGAGATGGCCTTTGCTTTCCTACAGATCTGCAGCTGTGCTTTCATCTTCTGTCTTTAATTAGGATATGCAGCTGGTGATTCTGGTACCTCGGTTGCCTTTACTATAATTTTCCCCCTCTACCTCAACCTCTTGCCATGCTCTTGTTTTGACACTCAACAGCAGCTGTTCTGTATCACTGGGTAGTCTTGTGTCAGAGTGCAAAACATTCCTTATAAAATAAAAAGGAAGAGTGTGCAAACACAAACAGAGTTATAGACAATTGCAATCAAATGTGCTAACATTGTTAAACTCACAGTATTTCATCTGCATATTTGTAACGAGGAAATACAAACAAAAAGTCAAGCTATAGGTTCCAGGCTGTTGCATAGGAATGGGGGAGATATTGCTAGCACCTAATTCTGTACTGTGTCTTACTTTGTACTTCCAATTTTATTGCTTTGGTATAAAAATTCAAGAACACACAAAGAAAACCTTGCTGTGTTTGGCCTAAAGACACTATGGAAACAATCATTAAAATCGCTTGCAAGCTAAAACTAAGATAGGAAAACAAAGATGGGGAAGCAAGAATTTTTTCAGGTGGAAGATATCATGAAAGCATAGCATTACTTATACTCCCCTAGTGCATATTGTTTTCCTAGAGTTTAAAAAGCATACATGAGCAAATAGAATTACTGCATTTCAGAAAGTTTTAAGTTGCCAGATACTGTGTGAGGCAGTGATAGGAACATGCTACTCTTAGTTTCACTCACAGCAAGCGAGAAACAGGAACTTCCAGCAGGTAAAACTGGTCATGCAATCTAGGCTGCACCACAGAAACCCAGACAACAATCAAATATCACAAGACTAGCCAGAAAATACAAACATTTCCACTGGAGGAAACAAAAGAGAAATATTTCTCACTTGAAAATGTTTTTAAGTAGTTATTTTCTTTTTATAGATTGAAAAAAATAAAAATACTTTGAAATTTTAAATTTTAATTGAACAATGTGAAACAGAAGGAACTGTTACATACTACTTTTTTTTTCAAGGTACACAAAGGATTTTTGCACCTTTTTTCATACATTCATCTCATTTACTCTCTCTCTGGCTGATGTTTCTATCTTTGAAGAACCGAAGGAAATGAACAGGTTGGACTTCCAGGATTTAATTACATCTATTAACAACACTCTGACATGTAAAAGTAAACAAGAGAGAGACAAGCTTAAAATTAAAATACATATAAGCATATATGAAACTTCTCATCATTTTTTTCCGTAATCCGTGGTAACAGCAAAAGGAATTCAATGCCATACATTCTCTGCTTCTGGAATTCACTTGAATCAGTGCAATTACAGGAACAGAAAAATACCAAATGCTGAAGTCAATTGAAGGAATTGACTTCAATCTATTGAACTTCAATTTATTGAAGTCAATACCAGGGAATTCTGTTTTATATTACATAATCAACTCCATGCACAATGAAATAATTGATTGTTTCTAATTGCAGCATTCATGTTATTTAGTTCCTTGAAGAACATAAATTATAGAGTTTAATATAAATAACCATTGAATATCTATCAGAGGCTATTGGCCGCTGCATAATACATTGCCAAATAGCTTCAAAAGAAAAAATTTATTCTAGATGACTTCCGAGAGTTTCTATGTCATCAATTTACAAACAGGTTTGTTGCATAATTTATACCATCAATTTACAATTGCCCTAGGGATAGCAACTTAAATTATATTAATTATTGTTTTCATTACCACAGCTTCTAGAGTCCTTACTTGTAGAGCACATTTTTAATGTCTTGGTTACCTTATGAACACAAACCAAGGCTTCCATTTAATCTATCATATGCTCTATATGCATTCAGCATAGTGCCTGTTTTGTAATTTAAATTGAGGTCTCATTGCTTCTAAGGTTTTCTTTCTGGAATACAGATTGCTAAAGTAAAAGAATATGCTGGTTCACATTACCACTTCTTCCACTGGTTTGCTTGTGTAAGTAATTTCAAAAATAAAACAACACCCTGAGAAAACCTCACTCTTGATCATCAAGTACTTCCTTTTGAAGATATTTGTTTAAAGGCCAGAACAGGAAATATATGCATAAATAGTAGCAAAATAGTAAGCGTGTATATCATGACATAGAGGCACGTTGACTGAAGCACTGTTTTGCTCATAGCACAGATTCACATGCCCACAATTCCTGAGTGATAAATATAGCTCTAACACAGAGAGAGAGCACAGCTAATGCCATTCACCCAGCCAGGGAGACAGGCCATCGAAAACACAGCCTTTTCCATGTTCAGACTAAAGTCAAACCACAAAGAGATGTTGTCTCCTCCTCACACAGAGAAAAAATCTAGTCTACTACAGATGGAATTATCAGTTAATGAGATGTAAGAATTTTCAGCCTGTCTTCATCTCCTGACTTATTATAGCTATCATAGTAACCTAATATGGATTAGCTGTTTATTGTGTAATATGAGCTCTGGCTTATCTAAAACCTTTTACAAACAGAAGCAGATGATCATCTGAACACCAGCTTACTATCTGTGAAACTTCAGGGGAAAAAGCTAAATCTGTTCCAGAAGTCCAGGATGAAATTACAGTCAAGCTGAAGTTTGTGTCAAAGTTCCCAATGACAGCTGTGGTTGGAGCTTCTCCAAGCCCTGTGATGTGCCCATTGTATCACCTCCAGTAAAACAGTTTTTTCTTCTTTCAGTACAGCAGCACACACTAAAATGCAGACAAATATCTTTTGAAAATTAATGTGTGTAAAGTACTAGAAAGAGCAAATGAATAATAGTATAAAATTCTAATCTATTATTCAAAATGCAAGAGCTCATTCAGATGAAGTGTTTCTTTTCAAATATCATTTTAATTAGCTCTTCAGCCCAGCAGACTCTATACAACTGTAACAGCCCTTTCATACTGCCCTACACATATTCAGCTAAGTTCAATGAAAAGTAAGCAAAAATAACCTTTAATTCCCTCCTTTTGCAAAGGAAAAGTAAAATGCTTTGCCTGTTATGCTTAACTGACTTAACTGAATGCAGTTTGAGTAAATGGCTATAAAACAGACCCTAAGGTGACCTAGGTCTTTAAATCATATTTTAGGATCACTAACAATCTTATTTGTTCCAGTCTTCTAAACCTACTAAGAAACAACATCTTCTAAGCTAAAACACCTCTGTTGAACATCTCAAGCTGCTCTAGTCTATCACCTACACACAAACCCTCAGCTAGGCAGTCCCACACTCAGACTGCCTCCAGCTTCTCCCTCACCAATTCCTGTGTGTTTTGTGTGGATCAATCAGAAATCATGCTGAAATACTGCTGCTGATTTTGCACTAGCGTGGCCAGGATTGCCACCTGGTCTTGCACAGAAGGCAGTCAAGGACTGACAAAAGTAGACTGAGTAAGTTTGAAGACTGATTGCAGAAGAAAATTAAAAAACCCAGAAGTGGTGCTGCCTAGCATGTACATGGACTGCTTACCAAATACATTAGTGGTCAGAAGTAGGAGACTTCAGATCAATCCAATGCCTGTAGACACAGAAAAATATCTGCACCTAAACTGGGATCCTTACAAGGTCATAGGAGTTCATATGTAGAACATCCATACTAGCACACGCACAAATACATTTACAAACTCTGATACACATAATATATGCTTATACAATGTCATGATACTTCTGCCCAACAAAAAGCCTGCAGACTGCTTAGTCACATTAG